GGAGAGAGATGTTGAGGAGGGGGAAGCTTGGTTCAGAAATCAATACGGTAATATTTAATCCACTATGTTAGTCAGTGTAGCAGATCGGATATTAATAACGTCGCCTTTCTGCAATTCATCGATTTTAGAGTCTTCACACCCCAATACAAGGTTGAGAAGACACTGATTGCATCACAGATCAATGGCTGGTCTTCATGCTACAATCCTTCTCCTCTTTCTTTCACTTTATAGCCCCAGTATCACGATCAAATTGTAAAAATTGCATACACGACCTGGCCATCGATTATCATAATGAATAGATACTGGGATATCTTGTCAGTATGATGCCAAGTTGTCGTTTGAAATGCAAGAAGTCGTGTGGAAATACCGAGCTTTATCAGTGCCGCTTGATTGGAGACAGAGAGAGTCTAGCAATGTAAGGCCATGGTGTTGTCACCAAAACATCCATATGTCTTCTCTTTATTGTCGCCTGAAAGCTTATTTCTTCACTAATATAAGAAGAATCAACCTTGAATTACGTTATCTCTGACACTGAGCACCCCTTTTTGGTCAACACACATGTGATTTTATGAATTAAAGATACATCACCATTACATTAAAAAAAAAAAACCCATCTTCATGTCTTCTCTTTATTGTGGCTTAAAAGCTAATCCTTTCAACAAGAAGAGTCAACCATGATTCATTATAATTATGACCCTCAACATCTATTGTTTGTCAACTCGCATGTGATTTTATGAATTAAATACATATAATATCATCATTTTAAAACATGATTTAAATCGATCTTCCCAGACGTCGCGTGTGAATAATAGGCCAGTTTCGTAATGTAACCAAATTTAATGCATACGTCTTTGTGAAGTGCCTCAATACAAATTATTTCATTCACCTGATAGGAATAATAGTATTTCAATAGTCAGAATGCAACTGCATATATTAAGTGTTGCTAGGTAGGTCAAGCCATAATGTTTGTCCAACCTGGCAACAACTAATGTATGCAGTTCGGATTCTGTCTATTGAAATACTATTATTCTTATCAGGTGAATAAAATACTTTGTATTGAGGCACTTTACAAAGACGTATGCATTAAATTTGGTTACATTACGAAAATGGCTTATTCATTTAATTAATATTTTTTGCATTTCATTATTTTCATGTCTTGCGTGTTAAAGATACGTTATTTTATATTTTCTCATTTATTGTAGGCCTCTATATCGATCTGCCTTTAGACCCAATTTACACTTTCATTTAGCCAATAAAACAATCGTTTTCAAAAACACCAACATACATTAACGAGCAAAGAACATCATGACCGGCTTTGGCTTAATATAATAAAGTGTACAAAAAATGATAAGGTGAAACATAATGATAACAGTCAATCCCTTTAAGTTAATAGTTACCTTGGAAATCGCTTGAAAAGTGCTCAAGCATTTCTACAAAATGCATTTCCACAAGGATTTGTGTAATGGTGTAATTCCCTTACATTGATTGTTACTGTTACTGCTTTCATGGGACCGGGGCTACAAAATAATTGATTAATAAAATCATGAAATGAAGAATGATTGATGAAAAGAATGTTTAGTAAAACAGCACAATGTTTCTGAAAAACTTTAGACGTGTTTTCTCGAACAGTCTCATGATGTATTAATTCGAAGGGTTTCGTGTAGTATCCCAGACATGTTGGTTTGTCAACAGCGCGCGCCATTTTGTATTGTAAATTAATTTAAGTTAAGGGAGTTAAGTAATCAGCACCGTCGGCATGATCAGTATGATGAATAGATCATTCTAAGAACTGACTGTACCCCGTGGATGTTTACGACAATCATATTCAGATCAAAATCTCTCAATTAGAGTTGCTCAGGGTGCCCGAAAATCAATCAATGTCTTCTTTTCCCTCACCATCCTTGGTCATATGTATCTCCGGCACCCAATTGACAACCTCTGTCGTTATATTTCATCATGAATAATGACGATATAATTTCTTTTGTTTTTAGGTTTAAATCTTGTGCGATTTTTGTATCATGAAAACGGAGAGAGAGAGAGAGAGAGAGGGAAAAAAAGGGAAAATAGACCAATTTAACGATATGATATATAGGCACGAAGAGGGCATGATCCATCAGTGTCCATTCGATTGTCCCCCCTTTGACTCTGGACATATCGGTGTCACTTTACTTGAAACAAGCTGGCAGAGAGAGGCAGAGAGTGCCGAAAGCCGAAAGTAAAAAGACAAGGAGGAGTTTTAGTACAGTTAGATGTGACACACACATGCTCTTCCAATTTCTGTTGGTAAAGCTTTACTTGTTGATTAATTTCAAAATCACTGTATGCTAGTTGGCATTTATTGCCTGTTTGACTGCAAAGCGCAAGCTTAGACTAGACTCTTTATCCATAATATCTTGCTTTCTTTGATCTCTGCATTCGTCTCTTATATTGATGTGGGGAGGAAATCGGTGCTTTTATATAAACGTATTACATTGCTCCAAAACAACATGAAAAAGAAAGAGTGTCTGTGGCTATACAAGAAAAATAAATCATGTCAATCATGTTTACAAATTAACAAATTAGTGTAATTGCTAAGCACTCTATCTCTCATAATTATGGTATTACTCTATAAATTCGGACTCAAATAGTTGCTCATATTGCTATGTTAAAGATCACACTTTACTATCATTAACATTTACCTCCTTTCATCATTATTTTAATTTTTGTTATCATTATTTTGAATCCTAAAATGTAATTCTTTCTCCGGAGCTACTTTTCCATCGTATTGTGTGATACTTTTCCAAGTATCTATTCTCTTAGAATGAACAAGTACCGATCTTCTTATATTTCTTCAAACAGTTCAGGAGTTGAAGAGAGAAAAAAAAAGATCAACATTAATGCAACCCACACAAAATACCAGGTCTCAATGCTACACGTTATTAACAAAAGCAACTTTATCCAGATGAGAGAGATTGGAGGCTATCCGCAATAATATATGCATGTAAAAAGAAAAGCGTTTTGACCTGTAGACTGTCTTGCTAATGTTCTTTGTATGTAGATAATTATATGAGGCTTCACTGCGCAAGGCAATGGTCTACTGGCCTTGCTTGGGAGTAGTTATAATTTATCTCTCTAATTGGCTTCACGTTAGTCCCACCTGCAGAGATGTGGGTAAGTGTGAAACAGTGATGACATGACATGAAACGCAGTGTGAGCAGTATTTTTCCCATAGGAATAGGCATGTATGTACGGATGGATAATTATTTTTAATAGCGCATTTAGGAATGAGAGGAACATATTTAAACCCGATGTACCAAGGATTTATTAGGCTGATATTTCCTAGGGTGCACACAACCGTATAAGTTGGTGTAGTGCGGAGAAGAGGAGGAGGAATCAGGTACCCCATGCGAAATAGCAAAGAAAGATATGAAAGAGATTTTAAAAAAGGAAGACGTCATTGTGTGGGTGGGGGGGGGGGGTTGAAAGAAGAAGAAGAAGCTTTGACTAACACCGATTGAGTTGAAGTGCCCCCTCCCCCCCCCCCACACACACACATACATAATAATGCCCGTGCCCCTTCAATAACTTGACCCACAATGCGCCATTTGGACAGAAACCTAGGAGAGAGGAGGTCATTAATGTGTTTTTTCGCATTTTGTCCACCAAAGACGAACGCCGACTCCATAACTGCTCCGAAGTTAAAGTACGGCGAATTAAAAATTGCTAAATATAATATGCCCGAATGAATATTGTTCTGTTTAATTAAGTCTGAATAAGTATTGCATAGCTAATACTTTCCTTTCGCATCCTTTCTTTTATTGCTTTCCACTATTCCACTTTCTATTTGTCCCTTTTTCAAAAATATTCAAAATTCTCTGTTTCTGTACGAGAAAAGTCTTATTCATCATTTCCGAATCACACGTGACCAATATTTAAGAAGCGTTGAATTTTTTTTTCTCCATATTTGGCTATGAGAATTAGATCATGTTAAAAACTTTAAACAATCAGTCGGCCTAAACATTAGTTTAACTGGCTCAGACTCATCAAGTTCATCAATTAGATGAACCATTTCGGAGATTCTTTCTTTTTTATTGTGGCACTTATAACATAGCTGTCATAGGCTGTTTTTGTTTAATTTTCCACAAATAACCAGCACTCAAGTCTCCGAAACCCGATTCCTTCATCAATCTACGTATAATCCTCACTCTAATTACGCGCTACCCCCAAATCGGTAAGATAGGTACGGTGTCTTCAAAATACAGCCGCTAATTAACTTGCACCACACGTGTGTAATTTACAGGTTATTGGATGTAAACTGAACTTGACATCTAAGTGCAAAAACACTAATATAGCGAAAAAGCACATAATGTGGTAACGCATGGGAGAGAACAAAAATTTCGCCCGGAAGTTTCGTCCTACATCAACGACATTATACTCTAGTAAATAGCATTTAGTTCATGTTCTTTGTAAGCCTAATGACATGGTTTTGCTGACGAAGAAACCTTTACACAAAAAAAGATTTGCTTGTACGAATCAGTGTATAAAGCTCTTATCTTTGTCACTCCTTTTTCACCAATATCACCAATATCGACACGCAAATTCTTTTACGTAGCTGATATTTCTTACAATATCTCCATATACGAAGTTGTTCTGGGTTTTGTTTCATTGTAAATATATAATTAGGCCTATGTATCTTCATGAAATTGAAAGATATTCTCTCAAAGTGAATTCTTCCTTGTTATTATGCAATTATTTCCGAAAGTGATAAAGGAAGTGAAGATAATAGAAGAAGAAAGAGAGAGAGAAGGAGAGGGAGAGTGTGAGAGATAGAAGGAGAGAGAGAGAGAGAGAGAGAGAGAGAGAGGAGAGGAAGAGAGGAAGAGGGAGGGAGAGACAGAGAGAGAGAGAGAGAGAGGAAGGGAGGGAAAGGAGGGGGGGACTCGAGAAGTACAAACTCAGAAGTCATGTAGGTGTATCATCACATCTTCTAATTCTGTTTTAATTTTATGTCCCACTCACAGAAACGTTGACACAATGGCGTCCCTCCGATGGACCGGATACGGGGTTCTCGCTACAGTACTCCTGATCACCAACGTGACGTGCTATCTTCAGCTCAAGCTCGACAACCTTGATCAGTTTGTCGAAAAGACGAAGGGAGTTCTAGGACATATGGCATGCTTGGATAGCAATGCGGAACTCTGTCCGTTGTGCACGAACTGTGTCCAATATGCATTGGACGGTAAGCACCGAAAATTCTGTCAATTTTATTCAAACTTATTACTGAAGAAAAGTAAACCAAAGAGCAGTCAATTACGTCAACAATTTTTGCGACAGATACAAACAAGACCAAGAACCAGCTCGACAAATTATTTTAATTTTTTTATTTAAACTACTCATGATAATGATAGTGATGATATTAAGATTAAGCATCTTCGAAAGTTATTTCAATTTACATACTCTGAAGATACACATTTAGTAGTAAAATACTTTAGATTAAAAAAAAGATCATCCTTTGAGCATTTGCAAACAACTACTAGGAAATATTAATACATAAACCAAACATATTTTTCTCATTTGCCAACTTTCTTGATAATTATCTTTGCATTATCCCCTTGGTAGTAGTTACTATTAACGCAATGATTACCTGAAATTATTGCGAATCATTATAGGCTTGTGTTAAAAATACAAAGCGAATGATCACATTGACCACGATACTTTTTTGTATATCGATTTCATTCATTTAAATTTAAATAGTTACAATTACAGAAATTAACTGTGGAAATATAATAAATACCACTGACTGGTAGTCCTGTATACAACGGAGGAGACTATAGTTGATCACCATCTCGGTTGATGTTTCGTCAAATCAAATAAAATCTATGACTGAATAACTAAATGAAATAAATGAAAAACAACCCCCCCCCCCCATTTCTTTTCTTTTCAGATGTTGTGGATGATCCGGAAATCATTGAGGAATGGTTGGATGTCCTGAATTTCACTATGGCAGAGGTATCACACTATGCCGCTCTCGCGTCGTGGAACTATGTCACAAACATTACTAAATACAACACAGAGGTAAGAGTTTTATCACATTTTAATCATGAATACAAAAAGAACTAACATGAATTATCCAAAGAGGACGATGGCAACATCCTTGACGATAAAGCTTAGTAATTTTTTTGCGATTACATAGTGCAAGATACTATCTGGAAGCAATTATTGTAAAAGGTTGACTATGTAGTACTTAAGACACTATCTATACTGTGAGGTTTTTCAAGCTGATTCGAAATTGGCACAATCTTGCCGGAAGCGACAAAACACTGCATACAAAAGGAATACACACAAATATATCTTGTGATATTTCGAATATAAAAGGAATTAGAAGAAATAATTTGCTGGGTACATTTCTTCCATGATATCTCCCTAACTAAGGAGAAAACACAAATTATCTTTCAACACGACATGAACCCAACCGTTTTCTTAGAACAACACACATTTGGAATCATAAAGACGTTGAATAATTTTCATGCACCCGTTTCGCCATCTTAAACCTCAGGCATGACGCGGTATTAAAACCTCTTTGAAAAAGAAATCCCCTGTGGCGAACCATTTTACAAATAACTAAATGGAAGATGAAGGCAATGGCGTGGCGCTGTTTCAATCATTTAGAGGGCATTGGCGTCATAGAGGGCGGGGGGAGGGGCGCTGAAATTTTCGGTGATTGAAATGCGAGAGAAGTCGGCCAAAGTGAGGGAGGGTTCGTATCGCTTTTTATTTTGACTCTGCCTTTCTTCTTTCCCATTCTTTCTCTCTACTACATTTCCCGCCAATTGTTCGGGGGGGGGGGGGGGTGCTAAAGCCAGCGGAAGAAAGTTGAAACAAGCAGCCCATCAACGTATTTGCTTAGTGTGTTATAAGATACCAAATTGACAAGCGCACTACGCGTACAAAATGTTATCTAGCCAAGGTGTTTATTTTTTCTTTCACATTTTTGGACAGTTTTCCGTGAGGCGTTATGGTCGAACTATTTCTCTCTGTATCATCAATATTTTAATGTCAAACCATAAAGATGCTATTTTATTGTAGTAAGAATTCACATGAAAGTCCTATTTTCTTCCTCTCTTTCGTACAGACAATCCTCGATAAAGAAAGCAATTGAGATATATAAATATATCACAACTTCGTAAACTACAATATAGGCCCAGTGTATGTTTAAACAAAAAATATATCAATTAATTCATGATGATCCCCGCTAGCTTATTATTTATTAAATTTGTGTCAACCTGCTGTTCTTCATATCATCATTAGAAGTAAGATGTTTTCATTAAATTTCATAGTTTTAATTTCAGCAGAGTTTATGGACATGTTCTGATATTAGATACAATATTGGTTTGATCAGAGCTCTGTATAGGATAGTATATTGTTCCGAGAATACTCAAGGCATGCAATTCATGAACCGTTTACAATTTTTTACAAAAGAAACACCAAGTATGAAAATAATTATAATAATTGAAGACTCATGATTAAATTATCTATTTACGAATATGACGAAAGAAATACCAACGATGATATAAAAGACTTACGATGTCATCATCTATTTACAAATATGACGAAAGAAATAAAAAATAACAAATAATATGAAATGCAATGTAATAAAGATATCAAGGGCGTATGCTATCAAAATCTGTTTACAAATATGACGAAAGAAGCGGCAGATACTAGTATAAGATAATAATATATGCTACAGGCTTCTGTCCTCCCTCACGTTTGAGTTGAGGTGGAAAGTGCCCCTGTGGCTGTGCGTATCTTTGATGTTGCCCTCTGCTACTCAGAAGAAGAAGAACTTTCATTGATAATCCGCGCAACTAATGCTCTTTCCTCCTAAGGCTTAACCTGCCTGAGCGGATGTCTCGAATATTCTTTGATTTTACCCCCTCCCCCATCCTCCCTGCTGAAGAAAAAAAAAAACACGTAATTCTCAAAATCCCCCGTCATAATGAAATTCTAATGAGGGACGCGGGGAAAAAAGCTGAAATCACTTCCTACGTTCACTTTCCCCCTCGGTTTGAAATATTTTGAGATCTAAATATATTTGAGAGGGTTTTATTCATTGCGTTTCGCATATAAACTGAGGTGGGTGTAATCCCCCCAATGAATAAATGCAATTTAACAGAAATCAACGCAGGTATACATCGCCCCTGAAGTGCCGGGTATATGTACACATAAATCATAAAATAATTGCATACACATATAAGTGTATATACTACTGTATATCATTGTATTTTTTATTTGTGTCTTTCTTCTCACTCTTCATACATTTTGCTGACCTCGTCCCCCCCCCCCCCCACTCCTGACAAACTTCCTCACCTCCAATATAATCTGCGTGTATATTTTTCTTCATTTTCTTTGTTTTTAAAGCTATGTATATGTTGGCACATGCTTAAAAAGAAGGTGTAATTCTGATAACAGTGACAAAAGTGGGCTTACTCATTCTTTAACACAAGATACTATGTCCCTTTTGCAGCCAACATCAAATCTGTAGAACTTTGCAGGAATTATGAATATGTCACGTATGTCCTATCCGTGGAAGTTAAACGTTAGCAGTGTCCTAATATTCAAATTATGCAATGAAACCCGTTTACTTGCTAGACTTCACTGTCAGACACTATTGAGTGACTGACTGGCTTTTTCTTCTTTGGTAATAACGTACATACAATGAGCTGTAAAGGGTACATGAGCATTTGTCTACATCAATAACCCACTTCTTGTAATGGCCAAAATTAAACTGATTGAATCTTTGCGCAGCATAAAACGTACGACCATTCGGTACAATGGTCTGAAAATCAGACTATTACTTACTGGCTCTATAGCTCTTAAGTCGATTCGACAACTAATAGTCGTAATTTTTATGTATGATCACCTGGAAGGAAAGTTTCTTATTTTTAGGAAGAAGACAATAAATTATTTATATATGTAGCTATCTATCTTTTTCCCACTTCAAGACATTTTCAAGCCCCTGTTTTCTAGGAAAGTTATAAATTAGTATTATCTTTCAAATGCTGTTGGTATATAACCTTTTCATTTTTTTGGCCAGCAAATGGGCCATAGTACCTTTTAACAAAAATCATTTCTGAAGAAGAAAAGCACAGTAGCAGGTATCATGATAGGAGTGCTCTCGAAATGCCTATATATTCTAAATACATCCATGTAATCGCAGAGCAGTCGAACAACAATGCGATCGCATGACCGCTACTCAACTTTATTGGGAAAGAATCATGCTCAACATAGTCGCTTAGTGATTACATGGATATGCAATTGTGTAAATAATTCATTCTCAATCCACTCTCTCTTTTTCATATCATGAATAGGAAATTAAGGGAAGAAATTCAATTTATTTATTTCATGAATTGCAAATGATATTTCATTGATGTGAATGTAATATATTCTTCATCCTAAATGAATTAAAGTGAAACCCTTAAAACTGATGAATATGGGGAAAAACCCTTCAGTCAATATCCATTATTGATGCTTTATAAAATTATGGATTTTATTAAAAATATTATTCCACAAGAAAAATGGTACAGATTGCCATATCGTGAGCCAGCCATTGTGATCGTATTTGTGCCATGGAGGAGATATTAAAGGAAAGTTTTAATCAAGAATTGACGAGATACATGATTGTTTTCATTATATAAAATGTGTTTTTCATTACTTCGTGTTCAAAAGAAAATCAAGACATTCAAATAAAAAGCATGTTGCGGCGTTATAATATACCAATATTGATTGCGTTGAGGGGAGAGGTTAATACTTTTACCCCATGTGATCTCGAAACTGTACTATGCCCGGATATGAGATCTAGGGGCATACTGTAGTGCAGTCTCGAGATCACCGAGGAGCTACATGTTTAAACGTTACCCGAAAAATAATTATTCCAAATATGTTTTGTATACATACCTCACCACGCGTGTCATCTTTCAAAAAAGACATACTTACCAGAAATGGCTATCGAAATATGTATCCGTTCGTAAGGAAATTTTCTAGTTTAAAGCCTATCTGCACTAGTTTGTTCAGGAGGGATTAGACCTCCTTGCATGGTCACTGACAGGTGGTTATCTCATCAAATCAGCTCTCAATTAACATAGGAAAAAGGGGACCATGGCGGACCAACGGTCATCGATTAGGCACTGTTTGCTATATAGAGGGCGCAAGTACGTACAAGTAGTGCAGTGGGGCTTAACAGTAGTAAGAGTGGTGAAGTGTGACGTCATCAAAACAAATATTTTTAGAATTTCTCAATTTTTTCTTCATTTTCCGAAAAAGCATCTAAAATAATGTCCTAATGTCGAAAACCAATTGAATATACTAAGTATTGGCTGAGATATGACCTTCTGAATAAATACATTTCCTATTGGAACTCAGTGTTATAGTGTTCTGGTTCATAACATTAGGAAATATAGCACTATAGCAATATAGCACTGAGTTCCCATAAGACATTTATTTATTCAGATGGTCATATCTCAGCCAATACTTAAAATATTCAATTGGCTTTCGACATACGGACATTATTTTTGATGCTCTTTTGGAAAATGACGAAAAAATTTAGAAATTCTAAAAATAGATTGTTATGATGTCACAGCTTCTGTACTCTTATTGTTGACTTCATGGAGTCGGGCCTTCTCGATTACATTCAGATTCAGGGCAGAGAGGTACGCAGTCTAAATATAACCAAAAATGCACGCTGAATAATACAAAATGCACGGCGAATATGATGGTGGTGGTGGTGGTGGTTATTTTACCTGACTGCTAAGAAATAACCAATAATGTACGCTCTTTCAGTAGACCATTTATTGAACATCATGTGACCAACAATCGTCCAATCAAATGACAAGTATCTGCTTAGGTGTTATATAATTTTCACTGCACTGCCCAGCAATCAATAGCCAACTTCATGCCTGCACTTTTGACCAATCAGAGTCCTAGAATTTTCATATACGGTATTTAATATCAGTTAAACTGTTAACATCATAATAGTAACACAAATTTTACGATAGTAGTTCATTTCATTTACACTTCAAAAATTGTATCTTTTTCTTTGCATTATGCGTCAGTTTTTGTCTAATGTGTCCATGCTGTCGGGAAACTATGGCTTAGAGATGAAAGACGAAGCGAGGAAGATCGTACAGGATAATCTTGATTTCAGAAGCAGAAGAATGCTCAAATTTGCTCTTAGGGGCGGAGAACTTCGAGACGGGCATAAACGGAGGTATTCAATGATGCATGCATGTGACGATATATTAATTTGCCAACTTTACTTTAATTAATCTAACTTTGGAAATGCTTGCTGGCCTAGATTCACGATAATGACTAGAAATGAGGAAGATAAACATTGTGCACTTGATAATCACATTTTAGTAGTTTAAAATGATCAAATTAATGTAACAACAAGTTTTTCTCTCTTCACGTTGCTATGAATGTTTCACTTCTATTCGGTGAGATTCTGCTCTCATTAGCCATTATTTGGCATGCCTTCATATAATATATATTCTTACAAAAGTTTTGTATTATTAAAGGTAAAGACCAGTTATGGTCATACGATTGCATTGTGAAAGAAACGTTGTGGAATCGATCAGAAAAGGTTGATCATCTAGCATCTAGCATCTGCAAGGTTCTGGAATCATCAAAATGATAAGAAATTTGGCCCATTCTTCGTAAAGTTACAAGCACTATACACAGAAAGACGTATATGGGACTACCCTATATCTCTCACAGACCATGAGAGAAACAAATTTACCAAATATATGAATTAGTAGGCGGTTTCCCGGCAAATTTTTTATCATCATGTATTAGTCAAAACATATTCTTTCACATGATTGGTAATGAGAGCTTCCATTTCATTTTTTGAAATTGGGGCGTTTCCAATACTGGTCTTTACCTTTAAAGTGCATTTGCTGAATAAGTTACCAATGCTATTTCACATTGCCGATGATTTAAACACATCTGCTGATTTTTTGGGGCTACCAAATTGAGATACAGTTTGACGACGACACATTTTAAACGCATTTCAAACGAATTCATAACCTTGATCAATACATTCAGTTGTGGATAATTGAACATGCAAAACTATTTAACACACTGATGGCATTCAAACACCTCTAATTGGCTCTTATTCAGACTACTGCAGGTGACAACCAACAAGATGCAGACGATATACAGCGTGGGGAAGGTTTGCCCGCCAGACCAGCCGGCTGGGAGTACCGAGGGATGCCTCGCCCTGGAGCCAGACGTAGTGAACATCATGGCCAATACGAGGGACTACGATGAGCTTCTTAGAGTGTGGGTAGGATGGAGAGATGCAGTAGGACCTAAGATCGGTAAACTTTATCCAACCTACGTCGAATTGAAGACAGAAGCGGCAAAGATTGGAGGTATGACAATAATGACATTATGTACGCCTGTAGTGGCTGATAGAAGTTGGAAAGATATATGACTATCCAAATAAAAATATTAAAACAAATCTTTTACAAAAGGGTCTTGCTACACTACAGAAAGTTCCTTATTCTACTTGACTTGCCAACGCATACAATTTTTTTTCTTGGGGAATAACATTTTTAAAAGTTAGTCCTTTATTTGCGCCGAACTGTATATCGTTTCGTCAAAGGTATGTGGTTTGGGCATGAGTTGAGTCGGGGGTTAAGGTAATGTAAATGTTTGTTCTTGGGTTAAGAATTCAAGTTAAGAATTCTACTAGCATGATTAGTTTCTGAAATTCGAAATTGGTCTCGGAGAAATGTTTTAGCAGAGCAGAATTTGTTTTGTCGTGCATTCTATGCTGAGATTTTTTTCATTGATGGAAAAAGGAATAATTAAAAGACTAAAAATTTACCTTTGAAAGTGCGTGTTCTCCAAATGAGCACCGTTGCAGTTTCAATCTTTAAAATCTTTGGATATAAAATAACTTAAATCGCTAAGACAAACAAAAGGGTATCTTTTTATTTAGTTTTTCCATTCATTCTCTTCATATCTATCTCACAATCTTACTCTAACCATTTGTTAATTGTTTATCTTTATTTTTCAAGGATATGAAAGCCATACAGATATCCTTCTGGAGAAATATGAGGACCCAACATTTGAGCAAGAAGTCGATGACCTTTGGCAACAGGTCAAACCGATGTATCTCCAACTTCACTCTTATGTAAGGAGAAAATTAGCTGCCCAGTACGGAGATGATAAAGTAGACGTACGCGCCCCCATCCCAGCTCATTTGCTTGGTAGGTAAAGGACCGAGAAAAACCCATCACGAAAGCCACAATTAATTATTACGACAATGTTTTGCTTGGAATTCATTAAGTTTATGTACTAATTGCTTATAGATTACGAATTTTATTATTGTCAGATTTATCTCTTATCTCACACTATAGCGAACCTAAGATATGCCAGATGGATTTATTCGGGGAGGGGCAAGTGCCCCTGGATCTGCCGCTGTCTCACTCAATATTAATAGAACGGCGCTCACTCCATATTAAAATGCGCTTCCTCGAATTATTATTTACTCTTCTTTTTTTAATATCTCTCTCCCTCTCTTTCTCTCTCCCTCTGTCTCTACTTCTCTTTCTCTCTCACTCTCTCTCGCTGTCTCTCTTTCTCTCACTCTCTCTCTTTCTCTCTCTCTCTCTCCCCCTTTTCCTCCCCACCCCTGATTCTCTTTTCCTCCACCCCATTTCCCCTCTCTTCCTCCAATTCTCTCTTTCTCTCCTTTCCCCTCTCTCTCTCCTTATCTGGTTATCCGTTTTCGCCTTTTCTACCTTGCTCTACTTCTTGTTATAGTTGTCTACCCCCCATTTCTTAAACAAAAACCTCCCTTCTCTAATATGTTCACTCCTTTGCTCTGCCGCTTCTCATAACTTTATCTCACTCTTCAGTTTATTCTAGCAGTAATATACATTTGTCTTGATTTCATTTAAATGTATCAATATGATTTCGATGTTTCTGATGGAGTTTGAAGCATTCATTCTTTATTTTCGTTTCTTTTCTAGGTAACATGTGGGCACAGCAATGGAACAACATTTACGATATTGTAGAGCCTTTTCCGAACCAGGGTACGATTGATGTCACCGACAAGATGAAGGAAGAAGGCTGGACCATTACAAAAATGTTTCAAGTTGCAAACAAGTATATATATATTACCTGTCAATCTTTGTACTGCCTTGGGCATAACGACTTCCTTATGTTTATTATTTAAGAATGAAAATTATTTGCTCTTATAATCAGAGTAACTGGTTCGGATTAATCTTGAACTAACATCATACATTAATTGGTTTTCTGTAAGAGGTTATCTTTCTCTCTGATGCAAACATTGATTCAAAACGCTGTCAAATATTTCACGAAAGAAGTATTAAAAACGATACCAATTGATTTTAAACCAGAATACTGAAGCAAATCAAGGAGCGAAGTGCTTCCAAAACGTACGAAAAGTGTTCTCTTTTTCATCTTGCTGGGCCGAGATTTTTTCTGACATAATTATGTCCCATTTGAGACAGTCAGGGACTGGGCGGAATTCCCCAAATCATGTTTTTTGGGGAAAGTGACTGTCTGGAGGAAAAGCTGCCCTCGCCTTTCGAACAATTCTGAACCCACCCCTGCTTAAAATACTGAACAACAATTTGATTAGTATTAAATATTATTTGGTAAATCAACTTGCAGTTTTTTCAAGTCTCTTGGTCTGGAGGAGATGCCACCTACATTTTGGAGTAAGTCTATGCTTGAGAAACCTACAGACAGAGAAGTAGTCTGCCATGGATCTGCTCACGACTTTTCCGAGTACAACGATGTCAGGTAATGTTCAACAAATCACTCTTCTCAAAAATAATATCGTACTGTAAATGTCATCATAGTACGATATTGAAGTACTTATTAACGACTTCAAATGAAAATGAAAATACATGTATCTGAATTGTCGATGAATCCATATTACAATGTTGAGGGTGATTGAGGCATGATCTATGGGAGTGTAGTGGTCGAGTGGTTTAAGGCGCTTGACTGTAGATGCGAAGGTCGAGGGTTCGAATCCCGACACGGCACTAATATCCTTTGGCAAGATATTTACCTGCACTTGCTACTCTCCATCCAGGTGTTAAATGGGTACCCGGTAGGATGCGAACGTTCATGTGGTCAAGTGTGCGTCTGTAAAATGGCGACTGGCTGGAATGCTCCCCAGGGAGTGGAAAATGTGCACACATTGTGTGCGGGTAAGCCTGAATCCGATGACCGGGGTATATATAAAGCGCTTAGGCATATCGTTGGATAGGTGTATTGAGCGCTATATAAAAAAAAAGAAATATTATTATTATTATCTAGTATAGCGCCTCTGTACATGACTGTATAGGAATTATAAAACAATGAACAAGAAAACAAAATATGATTATGATGAAATGATGGTGATGATGATGATGAATATTATAATCCTTGTTATCCTTATAATAATTATCATTTGCAATATTCTTTTAAACAGGATTAAAATGTGCACAGAGGTAAACATGGAGGATCTGAACACCGTACATCATGAGATGGGTCACTGTGAATACTACCTTCAATACAACAAACAACCTGTTATCCTAAGAGGAGGTGCTAACCCAGGCTTCCATGAGGCAGTAGGGGATACTATTGCCCTCTCTGTAGTCACCCCGGACTACCTACATCAGATAGGCCTACTGGATTCTAACAAAATCGACAAAAGTAAGTTTAAACTAATTTTTTCTTCTTCAATTAACCCTTCGTAAGACCAGGGACCCGTTGCAATAAACTTGTCATCAATATCAAATTAAAACCAATGTTATAAGCTACTGAAATCGTTGCGTTTGCTTGGCTGTGAGCAACTTTGTCATAGAAATAGGACACTTGTTATTATTTTCATCATTATTATTAACATTATTATCTGTATGGCAGGCCAAGAAATCAACTATTTGATGGAGGTGGCGCTGAATAAGATAGCCTTCTTGCCGTTTGGATTGCTGATTGATAAATGGAGGTGGCAGGTGTTTCGAGGAGATATAACACCTCAACAGTACAACGAAAAATGGTGGGAACTCAGGTAAGTTAGGAGCGACCCGGCGTGGAGAAAGGGGGGGGGGGCACAATAGGCCCGTGGCCCAATTCTACTACTACGGGTAGTCTTACCTCCTGGATAAAATAAGAATTAACAAGGAGTCCACAGATTAGAGGAAAGGTGTTGGAGGGGGTTCTGGAATTATTTTTAACTCTCCCTTTCCCTTAACTACATTCATTTCTCCCTCTTTATTTTTCTGTTCTCTTTAATTCTTTTGTAACCATTCGATGAGGGAGGGGCACATCTACCCGCCCTCTTCAGCTTCACCAATGTGTATATATGTCGTTTATCTGAAGTACAGACCACATTTAAAACATTTCTATTTTTATACTCACAGGGAGGAATATCAGGGTCTTTCCCCACCTGTCGAAAGAACCAGCAGTGATTTTGACCCCGGTGCAAAATACCATATACCTTCAGGAACGCCTTATATCAGGTGAGTATTGATAATTTCTTTGCTGTTTTATCTCGTCTAAAAGCTTATTAAAATGACAAAATTCATCACAATGTTAATTTTAAATCAATATTTCCTATTTGCAAGATCAGCATTTTCAACCTTTTTGAAATCACGGCACCCTTTGAGAAATAAAAATGCTTCGCGTCACCCCAATCCAAAATTCATAACAGAAAATTCCTTTTGCATCACTCTGACGCTCGCCAAGTGTCATTTTAACACGTACGGCCACTTTTCTTCCTAAATTTTGCGAGCGAGCGGAGCGAGCTAGAAAGAAAAATTGCCTCACAAAACTTTTACGTTGACACGATCGCAAAGACTTAGAAAATATATATTATGTTTTATTGTTATTATCATTATTATTCTAGATATTTCGTGAGTTTCTTGGTCCAGTTCCAGTTTCACGAGGCTCTGTGTAAAGCAGCCAATAATGAGGGTCCTCTTCATCTCTGTAATGTGTATAACTCCAAGGAAGCAGGAGCAAAACTCAAGTAAGTTCTCCCAACCCCTCCCTACCTTCATTTCCCTACCCCTACTCTGTCCTTTCTCTCCATTCCTACTCTCGACCACACTTTCGATTTCAACCGCGAATTTCCTTCTATGTTAGCTTTTCCCAGCATCATCAATAGTGATCTGTAAAATGACAAATTTAGTGATCTCAAAAAGACAGTGCTACGATCTGGAGCCAGTAATGTCATTTTTCTATAACGTACTAATCCACATTCTCCAATGATTTAATATAAAAAATCTCTCGCAAGGTCTGCCTTTTAGTCTTCTTTCCATACATAATTATACATGACCTTCAAATCGCATTAAGTGCCTTAACCATTTCTTATGTCTTCATTTGATTGTATTCAGCAGCACACACGCGCTCCGTCCGTCCTCTTGAATGCGGTCAAGCACCTCTTTGTTTGTGATACTATTTCTCCAAGACATACCGATCATTTCTTAGAATTTCCAATAAAATCACATGAATAGGACTCACTATAACAATGTTCACGTTTGTTTGCTTCCTGTGTATCATTCTTGCAGATCGATGTTAGAGATGGGTATGAGCCGCCCGTGGCCCGATGCAATGGAAACAATGACCGGTGCTCCGAACATGGATACTAGTGCTATCAAGGAGTATTTCCGTCCATTGATGGAATGGTTAGAGGAAGAAAATGACGGTGAATTGATCGGATGGGGAAAGGAACTAAGGATCTTCCATCAATAAAGGAACGATGAATAAAACTGCCATTCAACGTGCCCATAAAGGGGGGGGGGGGGGAGAGAGCGTGGGTACTGTACAGTGGCCTACGCAGAATTTTTTCACGGGGGGGGGGGGTGGGGGGGAGTGGGGTTTTAACATTTTTAAATCGGGCCAAAAATTTCGCAACGACTCAGCCAGCCGCGTACACGCCAGGTACTGTAAATGTTGGGAACAAAATGGGGGGCAATGGTGTATCGTCTGAGTAACCCCCTTGCACCGTTGAACCACTTACATTTACAATTGTATCTTTTCATTTATATATTTACATATCTCTTCTTTTTTTGGGGGGTGGGGGGACTTTAATGGGAAGGGGAAATACGTTTTTACCACCTTATGCTTGGTACGATATTGGGGAAGAGTGGTAGTTTAGCAAATTAGATCGTTCCAAAAAGAATCTAAGCCTGTCACTAAAAAGTTGCATAACAAGTGCATAAAATGTAAGCATTCGGTATAATGTATGATAATATAAAAGAAATGAAGAAAAATGGGGTTTTGATCTAGAAAACAGATTAGAAAAATTAGAGATAATGGGCGCAAAAGAAATAATGTTCTTCGTTACCGAACAGTATGGGGTGATGGTATTACTGAATGATTATGGAGAAAAAAGTGTAGTTGTGACCCTAAGTGGAAGAAGAAATTAAAACCTAAATGATAGTATTAGCGGGCACATTATGATTAAACTCTGGCAAAACAACGAGGAGAGGGGCGGGGTGATTCCGTCTCGTTCTTACCTCTCAAAACTTTGTTGCCATCTTTGAATTTAAAGCGATAATAATATACCATTTTTTTAAACGTCTTGCCATGACCATCAATCTCAAATAGTATGGCATCGATTTTCTGCTCGAAAGATTGAACAAGGCAAAACAGAATTTAGTTAAATTATATACAAACCTGTAGTACTATAAGAATGAAAATGAATTTATAATATCATTGACGCTTTTAAGTTACATGGTGCCATACATCAGAATCAAACTCTTTTCTATCCCAAAAATCGGGTCACTACTTATTAATGCAAAACATATTAACATATTGGGAAATGTAATTCTATTATTCATATGTATGGTGATAACAAAGCATTTCGTAAATTGGCTTTGTATTAGTCTTTATTATCACTTTTCTTGGTATTGTTATCAGAGGAATTGTAATCTTCAATCTTAAAATGTTCTTTTCTTTTTCACTTTCGTCTCGCTATGCTCTCCTATGAGCCTGTTGGTAAGCTATGAGGCCAGTAGCACACCAGACAGCAATTTTGTCATTGGCGTCGATATGTTTATGGGGGGGGGGGGGGTTGAGGAACCGGTGTAATGCAAGTTAGTATAATTCCAACGAAAAGATGGGGTGGAAGGGGGTCATATCATCTTCTTCGCACGTTCATTTCCCTTGATTATTTTTCTTTATTTCTAGTTTTCCCTTTATCTGTTTCTCCTTTACGTCATTTCAAGGGGAAGGGGATATCACGTGACTCTGAAGCTATGTCTTCGATGGGCAACCTGATCATGCCCTTTATTTGATAGGCAACACAGTATAATGGTGAATAATAATAGTCATAATCATGGCACATTACCAATCAGCATTATAATCATGATCACTCCAATCACTACAATTTTCACTTTTCATTTTATTTTCATCGAAAAACTACAAAGACTAGTCAAATTAAACGAAATAGATTTTGGTACCATCTATATTCTATTATAAAAATAAAAGTACAATAAAAATTACCAGTACACGTCTTTTCTGAATTATTTCAGATATCACCATGGTCACATAACATGTATCGACTTTGTTCTTGATTATATCGTTTTTTATGTTATTTTTAGTTTCTAATATGTTTAATGTCCTTTTGTTCACTCAGATTAGTATTCCGGGGAGCTCAAATTCATTCAGTGATTATTGTATTAATTCAACAACAATGTTAAGATTGTTATGAGCAGTTCCTATGAAACATATGAATAGAAAGCATAAATTTATTTGTAAAAATGTTTAGACCTAGGAGTATTATATTTACACAAGTTGAAAGGTTGTCAAATATTTAATGCACTAAGAATATCACGATTAAATCAAATAGATACAAATAAATGAGATTGTAGGCATTTCAATCTTCTCTGTTTATCGCTTGAAATTAATATTTTTAAAGAAATGTTTTAGATTGTTATAACCTAGACCTGTCTTCCCATGTCTGTCTTTTTATCTCTATAATTTTGTTTTCAGTGTTAACAATAACACACTTTCTAAAGTGGAAATTGCCTTTCGTAAATAACGCTTATTGTGTTTCTGTAGAGACAAAATATATATGTTCTATGTTTTGATGATCTTATCTTTTAAAAAATTATACCAAGATTGGTATATCAAAATATTTGAAGAGAATGCAAATATACTCAATTACTATGTCTAATATACGGAATAAAATGGTACTTATTTATGATAATCTCTCTCTCCACCTTGCTTTTATTGTACAGACAATTTCCTCGTGAATATGCTGTAATGGTGTGCTATTTTGATAGTGTTCATTCTGATCCAACATCTAGACTTGGAAAAAGAGAAAGAGAAGTATTTAATTGAGTGTGTCGCCGAAGGGAAAAATACTTCAGTCCGAGTTTTTAATCATCGATATAACCATGATACACATGTCTCATTGTAAGACATCATGATGTTTCGTTGACAGTTGCTCCGCAATCAATTTCTAGCATAAAACGAATTCATAACTTCAATCCATAACTCAACCCTTTCAAACCCTAACTCTATTACCCTTAACCAAAACATAGCCTTTAACCCTTTCGCACCCTAAACCATAACCCTAACTCTAACTCTACTTCCCTTAACCCACCCCAAACCATAACCCTATATTTGTTAGGATATTGAAAGCCCGGAGAAAATGAGCAATTATCGGATCATCTAATCTTGAACTCGCCCCAAAAAATTGTTCATCGTTTTATTCTGGAAGAGGGTTGTAAGGTCGGCTGAGTACCTGGAATCCGGTAAACAGGGGTTTACCATATTTCGCATACTCAACTGACTGGGGCGAGGATAAGGGCCATTGTAAAACTTATTGACACTTCTCTGGGCCTTCAAATAGGGGGCGTACCCCGGCTCCGTCCACTGTTGGAAACGCCCCTTGGAGAAGGAATGCGACGGAACGCAATATCAAACAGCGAACTGTTAAAACTGCAAACGATTCAACTCCTTTCTATTTCTAAAACAAAGTCCAGCTACAATGTTCAACTCCATCCAACAAATTTGCCCTCGTTTTCAATGAGAAGCCAGTCAGTAAGAGGCTGGAAGTAATCTAAGAGAGGCTGAGCGTCCATCTTGCGTTGCCCTGTCAAGACCTCCATGGCGTCATGCCAAGGTTCACTGGCTCCCATCTCCAACATAGATCTGGTAGTATGGCAAGAATAAACCAAATCAAGGATTAGATAATATATGAAAACTGTTGGACAACGTTTTATAACAATTTTTTTTTCCTAGATGTGATACCAATTATTCTTCCAGTAACATGAGAACTCATTAAAATTAAAATTTAAGCCAAGTCCTAAACATCTGCAACCACCACCACCACTACTACCAAGACGACGAGGGAAACAACCACAACAACAACAAAAGCAGCAGCAGCAGCAGCAACAACAACAACAATAAAAACGATATACAATGTAGATTCAAGAAAAAAGATACCTGAATTTTCGTCCAGCTTCTTTAGAATCATAAACGTTGCATAGATGAAGTGGTCCCTGGTGTCCCTTTGCATCGCATAGCGCCTTGTGGAATTGGAACTGGATGACGAAACTAACGAAATATCTACAAATTGAGAGAAACAAACATTTCAGGTTCGACATGTTCAGCAACTTCAAAAAGTTTGTTTAAGTAACATACATATTCAAAGAGTTTGAAAATGTAGATTGTTATTTTTCATTATCACAAACCTCACAGCATACTGTAACTACTGGTTTTACATCAGTCCCTCCGAGTCATCAGATATTTTCCATCCGCTCTTATTTGCTTTGTCATATATCAAATGTAGAAGTAAGGCTCTTAAACAACCTGCTTTCATTTGAATGTGCCTTTTTATATCAGCTCACTCTCCAAAGATCATTGTCTTGTAGATTCCACTTTTTAAATCAATATTCAATATATTTGGTTTGCAAAGGAAAGACAGAATAGACTCAAAGTTGAACAAATAAATTTATGTCACCTATCTACCTTACGTACGGTGTACCCGTAGCTACGTGAAACTTCGCGCCTGGATCAAAGTCTTCAGGACTGCGTGGAATGGGTGACTGAACCCCTTGGTATTGCTTCCTGTTGGTAATAAGAATATAATCTGGATTAATGATAACAATAATAGGCATTTCTATAGCGCCGTCTATCTAGAAATTATATTCCGAGGCGCATTTATTATTTCCCTGACTTTAGCCTGGCTGCCATTACAGCACTCCAGCATTTCAAGAAATTAATTCCTGTCAGGTACCCATTTACCTCACCTGAGTCGAGTGTGGCAAATGAAGATTAATGACTTGCCAAAGGACATTAGTGCCGTATCGGGGATCGAACCACGACCTTTGAATTTTAAGTCAAGTGCTTAAACCACTCGACTTCGACACTTCTACATTCTACGCCTCTGATTCATGCTCTTCAAATTCATAATACAATGTTTCACTTTGGAGATAATGGCAATTGGGGAGGCGATAAAATGAAAATCCTCTTGCTTACACGTTCGCCATTTCGACTCCGCTAGTTAAGCATGCGAAGAAGATTAGAGCATGCGCTAGTAGTAATAGTAGTTTAATGTTATGTGATATAGTTTTGACCAATCAGTGAATGACAATCTATGTACATGTATGAGGTGTATAAAATGTACGTTTGCCCTGGCCATTCACTTCTTGTGCTACATGTATGTCACTCTCACATAGCGTAGTGTTACTTTACTTTAGCAACGAGCAAAGGGAGTGATAAACAACACACGATCAAGATTAAAATCATGCTGAATAAATAATGAAGATGACTACCGTAAGTTCCACCAGGCCTGGTTATACTCATCTGGTTGTATCTCCCCTCTGAAAGCCTGCCAACGCCATTTGTCAACCAGGAGACCATACGGTAGAAAGACTAGTTTGAACAGCGCCACCTTCATCAGAAAGTTGATGTCGGATTCTGCGTCGAAATGATAAAACACCAGATTTATCCACTCAAAGAAATTCCTTGACATTCATAAAAATCATGTTTTGCTATGCATATATATTTTATTATGTCATCTTTCATTTTATTATGCCATTTTACCCATTATCGTATCATTTGTGGTCCCGTCTGTTATATACGACCACGTTCTTCTCATCTTAGGAATTGCAATTGAATATCAAACTCAGTTGAGTTGCGATCAATTCAGATCAATGGCAGCTCTTTCTGAGCCAAGGCACTATTTCCTTCGGGCCCTCTCAAGATTCTACCCCATGATCATACTTTTAAATACTCTCTTATGTTTTCTTTGTAAAGATGAAAGCCTTGACTTTTTCTCGTGCATCCCGCGATCTCCCTTTGAATGGAAAGGGTAACGAAGCAAGATGGCTCAGTGGTAGAGCAATGGTCTCGTGGGAGGTCCGAGGTTCGAAACCAAGTCGATGCGCTATTGCACTTTGGTAAAGTACTAATCCTCATTACCCATTACTAAATCTCTCGGATACCACTTAAAAGTGTAAGTCCCCTAGCTGCTAACCAACAAACATGTCGATTGGTTGTTATAGCATTCAGGTATACAAAATTCTCATTAATAATGAGGTATACTCACTGTAATCAGACTGAGGTTGCTCCAAGAGACCAAGATGGTGCAGATAACTGGGTGTTACCACCGACAGAGACACGGTATCCCCAACTGCCTCGTGGAACCCAGGATTAGCTCCAGCGCGGAACAAGACATGTTGGTTACGGTACTGCAGGTAGTACTGACAATGACCCATCTCGTGGTGGACGGTGAATAGGTCCTGCATGTTCACCTCGGTACACATCTTGATTCTAGGTATAACATACGAATCTGACACCAATTAACTAAAGCAAATAAACGGAATGATACAAGTACAACTCAAATTATGACATGATCCCTTGATAGAAAACAAGCATTACAACAATGAATGATAATACAGCTCAACATGGAACCTATTCGCCAGTCCGAGTTATTATTCTTTGCTGTTCGTTTTTGCAAAAGATGAATTTAAGTTTGATTGAATTGAATCAAAGAGATGTCGAACTGCACCACCAGAACCAACTACTAATCATAAATCTCTTAGGAAAAACAATACGACTATCAATATCTTCCCTAGTGATTGTTAGAAATTTTCTACGAGTAGTAAATTATCTTTAAAAAAGAACGCACTTCTTCAAAGTCCCTCGGGTTCCCGCAGAAAAAAAATATTAAGGAAGTTTGTACTGATATAAGATATGGATATAAGATCCATATGAAATGCCATACAAAATTATACAAATAGTAGTAATCATAATTGTTGAAGGTCAAAAGTTCTTACCTCACATCTTTATTTTTGTACAAATCATGAGAAGCTCCATGGCATGAGACTTTGCGATCTTTTGGTTTAGCCATCATTGATTTGGTCCAGAAACTACTTGGCATTGAGTCAAGTCCGAGTGACGCAAAGAACCTACAAGGAGAGAATAATATAATAATAATAATAACATGTCTTGTTTACCCAGGGTAGCCTCATCAGTATTCCAGGGAGGTGCCCTGAGTATTCATACCGTTATCCTTGAGGGCCCTGCATTCATATCATTACCCCGGCTGTAAACCGAGCTACCATGAAAAGGTGCTCAAGCATTCAAGGAATGCATGCATTTAGTTATGATAATTTATTCATTGCTTTCAATAAACCGATATCGCGAAAACGCCTAGCTTCATTATGGGCTCTGTTTGAAATGTGTTGATTGTAATTTGGTGTATTTCTGACATCAGCGTCTGAAAATGTCAATTTGTCTATAACCTAAAACCGGTCTATGAAATTGATTCAAACTCACTGATTGGCAACACCGAACATGCTTTCTGCTGTCCATCCGTCCTCCCTCATCTTCTTCGTGACGTCAATGGTGCCATGACCCGGATATGGTTCCACGATGTCATAAATATTGTTCCATTCTTGTGCCCACATGTTTCCTATGACAATCATTCAATGACATAAAATGAATGATCGTTTGACTTTGTGAACACGAATGGCGAATTTGATATATGATGCGGGCTGCATGGTAACGATAACGCAACTGGTTATGGGAAGATATCAATGAGCAAAAGTAATGGTACATCAAGCGTTCATGGCTGTAATATAGGTTAGTCAACAAGACCTTACCCTTACCAAGAATATGGGCGTACCTAGGCCTAAACCCTTTGAAATTGATACATTTATGGTTTTTCTACATATCATTATTTTGGTCTTACCAAGCAGATGGGCGGGGATTGGTCCGTGAGGATCCACAATGTCGGATCCATAAACCTCGACGAGTCTCCGTCTGACATAGGCATGCACATGCATGTAGATCGGCTTTATAGACTCCCAAAGAGAGTCGACGTCATCAACGAAATTGGGATCTTCGTATTTGTGCAGCCATGATTCCGCTTCGTTAGAAAAACCTGAACAAATTGGAAGATACATGATTTTTTTATTTTTTTTTAAACAACTAAATTACGATGAAAGACGGGGGAGTAGGTGTTGCGGGGCACACGGGACGAAACGAACAGTAACAAATAAAATAAAAGAAGAAGAAAAACGAAACGAGAAATGAGATTAAGAAAAGGAAATGGGTAGGGTAGGTCCCGTATAAATAATCTGACACATCTGTCACATCGTCCCTCTAATCTGAATGCCTTTAAATCGCATGTCATCAACCAAGTAAGACAGGTGCCCCCATTATATCAGTACCCTCTTACTGTCTAGAATCATGCTACGCCACTCACGAAATACATGTATCGTTAAGAGTACAATATGATTATTCGACGATACACTATAACATGTTATCGACCTTAAATGAAACACATTGGAGAGTCCATTATAAAGATAAATGTAACCATGCAATTGTTATCCGTTCACATGAATAAAATACCTTAATAATGAAAAGCATGTTTTGTAAAGCATACAATTGAATTATCATATTTACTAACATAATTGCTCACATAAATACAAAATGACATAAATAATCATGACCTGACACATGTTGGGGGAAATCCTTTAAATATAAATACAACAATGAATAAGTTAGATTACATTCCTTGATTAAAATACCTTTACTCATAGCAGCTTCATTGGATAAGTTCACGTAGATTGCATAAAGGTCTTTCATTGGTCGACCGACTGCATCTCGCCAACCCTGCCACGCCCATAGCAGCTCGTTGGCATCACGCGATTTCGCCATCAAGTCTTTTAGATCTGGTTCCATCGGGAGGCAATGGTGACTTGTCCGAGGAGTACCCGGGAACATGCGGGGAGCACAGACCTTGCCGTTGAGATAGATTCCCTGCATTTCGCCTCGCACGTAACCATATTCTCTAAATTGCAAAATGAAGGACAAAATTGATGCTGCTTTAAAAAACGATGCCGTCGATTCGATTTTGAAGTGAAAACAAATGATTGAACATAGCATTACTCGTTCCAAAATATATACGATTATAGAGGCTTAAAATGATAGGCCAACTCCCTAAAAATATAGTATTTTGAAGCCAGTTTTGTAATTTTATAGCCATAATAAATATAATAACGAAGTTGTACGGTCAAGGAGTTACCCGCGCAAAACTCCATTGCATGTTTGTAGGGTTGCAAGCGAACGAGATTTCATATTTAAGCTACCGGCCGGGTCTTTCCCAAGGGCCACGATCTAAGAACCATTGTGATAGGCCTAGTATGAGATAAATTAATATAGAAATAAAGAACGATGTAAACCAAATACCTGAGCTTACTGGCATCGTAGAATGTAAATAAATCCGAACCGTAGAAATCATACATCCGTTTTGTTCGAGGATCCAAACCGGGTTGGTCCACATCAATGGCTTTAGTCTGGTCGAGAATCAGAGATGATAAGTGACCTGTCACACTTATAATCCGATGATTCTCCTTTCATGTAGTCAATATAAAAGAGTAAGGCGGTTGCAATATGATTAAAAGAAATCATGGTGCATAATTGAAATGAAATATTCTTCATCTTGGAACTTGTGTTTTGAGGTGGTTGGATGGATTCAGCTCCTACCCCAGGCATCATTTTACCCCTTCATTTATGACCCTATATAGGCATTCTTCAACAAAACGCTATAATGAACAGGTGAAATAATTTTTTTCTTTGATATATAGAATGACAATTGTTAGATCATAAGGTGTCAGAGCAAATTTGCCGATAGCTTAGCTGGACAATTTCCAACACTAAAACATATGACTTCATCTGATTTGGTAATTTGTTGACAACGTAGTGAAATACATAAATTATCGAGAGAAGATTCATAATGCTTACTATTATAGTGATGCCCATTCATATAGCTAAATAGAAATGATATGTTATGTTTCACTCAATCATTGAGTAATTAATGTAAATATAAATTAAAATTATGGAAATAAAACCTCACTTGAGGATAAGAGAAAGAAAAAAAAATGGGAAAAAAAATAATTGTGAATAGATAACATTTCGAACTCGAGATTATCAACGTATAGCCAAAGAGTGACTCAATTAATCATTAGGTTGTTTCCTTTTTATGTCTCACAAAGGGATACCAATTATGAAAATTATAATCTCACCTCGATATTATATTCTGTCATGTTGGTGATGTAGTTCCATAATGCTAGACCATCCCGATTGCGAACCTCTACTTCCACCTCATTAATGACGCCCATCCATTTACGGGCCATGGGATTACTGCTAATCTGACCTATGCGATTAAAAAGGATAATCCCAAGATGAATTCATGATCAACAGATCTCAAAATTATGAAGTTTTAAAATATTTTGTTACTCTCTGCAAACGATGAATTTAGGCAATTTAATGGGGGAAAAACACAAAATATGTTATTTCTTAGCCTTTTGATCATGGTTATCTAGTTATGATTTATGTTTCCTTACCAGAAACGAATGACGGCTTTGATTATGACATGTTTTATGACTTTTTTTTTCTTCAAAATTACCTTTATTTATCTGTTTTACTATGAATTAGTCATACTTTTAGGTGACATATGTATTTGTGTTAAGATAAGGCTAGTATAAAGCAAGGCGGACCGACAGACAAACGGATAGACAGGTATTTAAAGAAGAGGAATAAGAAGAAAATGAAAGAAACAAAAGGAAGAAGAAGAAGAAGAAGGAAAAGAAGAAGGAGAAAAGTTATGATGCAACGGAAGGGCGTGAGACAGAGATTTCGAATAGGAAAGCAATTCCCCTACTGATGATCCTTTATAATATATGTCCCATTTGCAGGCAAACAAAAAAGAAAAGGTTAAATTCCAACGGCATTTGAAAGACAATATTGATTTAGAACTTCCCTCACAAAGAAAGGGCTTGCAAATGGCTTTTGGTGGAACAATAACGACCATTAGTTGTCGAATCGACTTAAGTGATTGCAATCATCTAAGTAATAGTCTGATTCCAGACCTTTCTACCGCATGGTCGTATGTTTTGTGCTGCACAAAGATATAATTAGTTTAATTTTGGCCATTACAAGTAGTGGGTCATCGATGTAAACAACTGATCATGTACCTGTTACACCTCATTTTATCTACATGCATGTTATTACCAAAGAAAAAAAAGAATGTCAGTCAGCACAATTGCATAATTTGAATACTAGGACATTGCTAACGTTTAAATTTCACAGATATGTACATGACATATTCATAATTCATGCAAAGTTCTACAGAATTTGATGTTGGTTGCAAAAGGGACATTATTATTAATAATTAGTATTAAAAAAAGGTGATTTATAAGTACCATCTTGTCGATATTGTTTGCACAATGCAGAAGTTGGGTTCTCACATACCATCCTCTCCAAGAGGCCCGATGTACGATTTATTAAACTATAGATCTCATCAAGGCTTATGATATCACTGGATAAACCTGGCGAGGGTGCGATTAGGAGATAGAAGAGCAGACATGCCGCCATCTTGGTAAGCCCAGCTGATGCCATTAGGACGATTCAAAACCCGAAGAGTTCAGAACAAAGGAGCAGGAGTTCAGAGATCGCTTCTGTCTGTAATGCTGGAACCGGAGAATAAGAGAGGGTGGAGCGAGAGGGAAGAAGGAAGAGGGGAGGAAAAAGAGAGGGAAGGGGAGAGAGAAAGGGAGAGAGGGGGAAAGGGAAAGAGAGAGAGAGAGAGAGAGAGAGAGAGAGAGAAAGAAGGGGGTGTACAACCCGATGTTGCATTAAATTTTTCAACAGAGCATTGTATGTAATTGTCATAATGACTTCAACTTAGTCAAATAACTATCAAGTATTCGCATAATTACTTTAAAACAATTAAACCTTGGTATTGATCGATGGGAAAATCGTCTAAAGGTAAGATAAGGTAAAATGTATTTATGGTATTGGTAACGAGAAAATCATGAGCTATGAGGTACTCCGAAAATATTTTTAGCTCATTTACTAGAAAACAGAAAACGGCTATTCATTGACAGCTGGAGAAAATAGATTTCCTGTTTAATAACTCGGATAGTTATAATTTTTTTGGCTTATTATTTATTTAAAGTCAACTAAACAATATTAATAAACACAAAATAAGTTTTATATCTAAGTATACAAGTTACTTACCGATGTCACAAACTGTTCTCTTTTGTTTGGGATGAGCAACCTTCCAATATCGTAGACATTCAAACTCCGACACTAAGTTCTATTCCTACTAAATGATCCCAAAGTTCCTGTGATCGGTTTCGCGGGAAACCCGACTAGCAATAGTCGAAATGGATAGCTTGGTACCGTATGGTTGAGCAAAGTTTGGCTGTCACAGAGGAGCTTAGAATAACTCGTCATCAATCCAACATTCAATCAAGAAACAGGATGTTTGAATAACGCCCTATATTGACAAATGAAGGGATTTGGTCGTTCATCAATGAGTCTATCTGAGCAGCGCCGATATAGAGCGGTAGTCTGTGAATTTGTCCTGGCACAAAATAGTTGATTACAGAAACATTTAGAAACCGACTTAAAAAAAAAAAAATGGTCTGTTTTATCTACTTTTTCTCCTTCTTCGTCGTTGTCCTTCTTCTAATATTCTATGTGTACTACATGTATTTCTTTCCTGCTTTCTCCTTCTTCGTCGGTCTCCTCCTTTTCTTCCTCTTCTCCTTATTCTTCTTCTTCGTCGCCTTTCTCCTTCTTGTTATATATGTGTTTTTCCTTTTCTTCTTCTTCTTCTTCTTCTTCTTCTTCTTCGTCTTCTTCTTCTTCTTCTTTTTCGTCTTCTTCTTCTTCTTCTTCTTCTTCTTCTTCTTCTTCTTCTTCTTCTTCTTCTTCTACTTTTTCTTCTTTTCCTGTGTACTGGAGTAGTCTAAACTTGACGATCCTACCATTACTCACCTATTGTAAGACTCGCCCGCCAAACGTCATGTATCATCCTCACGTGCCCGAACTTGGGTCGCTTACTTGCTTAATTACCTTCAAGTTTTCCCCATCAGCAGGGGTTTGAGCAGGGGCGTCGCCTTAGGGGACTGGTAGTTTTGATAACAGACTCTTTCAAAACTTCTGTCAGACATCTATAATTGTCGGATAATTTGTTAATTAAAAATATGTCTAGGCAAACACGTGTTGACATGTTTAGAAATCGAGGTCTTTTTTGTTTTGGCTGGAAGCTAGGTACAACTGAAAATATATTCATTTAATAACAAATTTAAAAAACCAACCCCAAAACACGCTATGTGGGCAATGTTTGACACCTCTTGACCTCCACCCCGTCTTCAAAATGTTCTTGCGACGCCCCTCGGTGTGAGAATACTCAAGTTACAGGAAACAATGACTCGTCTGATGAAGGTTCACATTAAATACTGATGATTGATTATTCTTCACGATTGAAATAAATTAATAATAATCAACTGCCTCAAGGTTAGTGTGAAAGAACTTCCGGGTGGAGAATGCGAGCTTGGCTAATAATTATGTATACTGTCTACGATATAATTGAGAGGGGAAAGAAAATCAATATGATAATTCAAAGAATACACGATCGCAATTTTAATTAATCAATTTTATATCCAATATAAATCATGTTCGCAATACGTAACACTCCATGTTCGCAAGTTTCAATAATTGACTCACAAGACCATTGAAATTGCTTTAGGTTGATTTTTTCGAAAATAGTTGCTATTGTGTTAAACAAACCATATTTTCGGATATACATTTTGGAGAAGACAACCACTTAAAAAGCAGTGCTATCTACACATGAGATGTTTAATGTTGATCTCATTTAGCCTTATAGCCCTCCTCAGCCAATCGTTAATCCGTTATTCAATACCCTAAAATTAAAATACTTTTAATATTCTTCATAAGGTTCTTGCGGCTCTTTCAATTTTTGAGCCCCAAAGATACCTGATTTGTTTTCATACTTTAAATAAGGTAAGTCAAGGTAGCTTTGCTCTTAAAAAGATGTAATACCCTGTTTTTTCTGCTTGCTATAAAATAAAACGGAGCTATATAACCTTCCCAACAACTGAGAAGGCTTGAAGAGAGAAAATTAAATCATACTCATATTTCTTTTTTTCAAACTTATGTTCATGGTTCTACTTGCCACTCGCCCCCTCACATGCTCCAGATGATAACGAGTGGGGTCGATGGACCAATTTCCGGTTTGAGCTTGAACCCTGTATACCGTTCCAACATACGTCGCGTGTGCGGCCTCACTTTAATTACCTGATGACATAAGTGTGTCTCATTCATTATACTCCTTAACGGCATTTTTTTAAAGATTGATTTTGCTGTATTTAAGTGTAATTTACAGTTTTTGTATTCGTTGGCATTAGGTTTAAAAGTGCTATAAGTCAACTAACATAGATTGTACATATTATTTGGAAAGATTATGTGCTATAAAAGAACCCATAACAAAAAGCAAAACACATATAAGTTTAATGAAACGTATCGCCTTTAGTAGCGCCTAGAACTATCGTCGGTGACCTAGATATCCCATGCGTATTATTATTATCATTATTATTGTTATCATTCTCATTATCATCATCATCATTATTTTCTTTATTATTACCTCAGTATTGGTTGAGAATGAAACATTTTTGAAAAGCACTTTGTCCAAGCACGTAAACACCAAGCAAGGATCGAACCCCAGGACTTCTCATAGTCATTAGCCTTCACCAATATACCACAGTGCTGCTGCATTATTGGCTTGTGATGATTTTGCAAACAATCTTAAAATATTAAAAAAAGATGTTGATTGAACAAAACAAAATCAATTTACCTCAAAAAAAAGCCAGGGTAATCGCGAATCGGATGCTATACCATAATCTTATTATTCAATATCTTTATCATTTCATGTTATTTACTTTTTTTGTCTACAACCGACCCTACTTCTTTGTTCTTCTCTTTCTCTCTATAAATTATGTCCTACCCCATCTTTTGACTCATTCACTTCTCTCTCCCCACCTCGATCTTCTGCCCTTCTTCCTCTATCATCCTCTCTCTTCTATTACTCTTTCTTAGTGTTCATGCTGTAATTTTACCTTAATAATGTCTATGTCTGTGTCAACGTTTATGTAAATTCATCACTAACCTATTTCAGTTATTACTTTTTTGTTTTTTATGTTTACATATATATATATATATATATATATATATATATATATTTTTTTTAACTTGGACGAATGAAATTGAATGTAATTGATTTGAACCGAATTTTGAATTAGCGCCATCTTTAAACTGCTTTCTACTTCGGGTAAAATGTTCTTAAATCATTTCACAAAGAGGTTATATTTCAAAGTGTATGAAGATTAAAAAGAGGACACACAGACATGTCACTATATCTAAAATTATTGAAGAAAAAAACCTGCATTCAGGTAAATTTACCACTTTTAACACAAGTCTAGTCAATCAATTGCTGTGCTTAGAGTCTGCATTTAATTCAAATATCAATAAGACACCATGGTCAAGACCTATGGAACTCTCTCCCAGAGTCTATTAAATCACTCCACTCCACTCATTTAAGGCCAAAGTTAAAACAATGTTATAATCAGATTATTCAAGGTAAAATGTCTGTATCAAATCTTCAGTCTTTATCATAATGTCATCTCTTCTTTCATTAGAATCATTATCATCATCGTCATCATCATCCTCATCATCTTCATCATCATCCTCATCATAATCTTCATCTGCATTGTCAATATCACCATCATCAAAATTTGTATTTTCAATAACCTATCCGTTCTGCTTAATAAATGTGTAAATCTATTTTATGAGTTTTGTCTGGGACTGTCGTATTATCAAGCAATCTGCTTACAATGACAGTTCTTCTTCCGCAAATAATGTTAGTATTTATGACAGCTTATCATTTTGTTTTAGAAAATAACAATTGCTATATATCTATATATTTGCTTATTTATGATTTATTGTCAGAAAAATACTTAATGTGCGTACTTAATATTATTATCATTTTCGAAAATCTGTGTACTTACATGAATGAAGAAGAAAATCAAATCAAATCAAATTAAAGATAAAGATCAAAGCTCCCCATGGTATAATTACCTCTTCAATATCAATCTTTAGAATTTCTAAAAAAAATATCTTCATTTTCCGAAAGAACATCAAATAATGTTAAAAATGTAATGTTATAAATACATTTCCTATAGGAACTCGGTGTTATTTGCTCTTGCTCCTCATGGTTAGGAACCAGACTGAGAGCAAATAATACTGAGTTCCTATAGGAAATATATTTATTCAGATGGTCATATCTCACCCAATACTTAACATATTCAATTGATTTTCGACATATGGACATTATTTTTGATGCTCTTTCGGAATATGAAAAAAAAATTGTGAAATTCTGAAAATATATTTTTTTGATGACGTCACACTTCACCACTCTATGCATGATACATGCTGCGCCACTGACGTTGGTTCATCCCAAAGCGATCGATTTCAAGGGATTGAGTTCTCTTTTCCTTTGAGAAAGAATCGTGATGACAGGTTTGTCGAAGCGTAATTTTAGATGGGCTTATTAGCTAAACTTTCATCTACAATTAATTGTTCTGTTTAGTGTCCTTTTCACACGAGGCGTCATCTGCAAACCATTTGCAAAAAAAAGGTAAATATGTCATTTCTAGGCCTATTGGTTATAATGTGTGCTTCGTTACCAGAAATGAACGACGGTTTTGATAATGACATGTTTTATGGCAATTGAAAACAATTGCCTTTATTCATTATTTGTAACAATCAACGATTTAATTATCTTTTTACATAATTGGATGAAGAGTTTGAGTAATCTAACTTGCAAGGGGAGGTTATGTGAACCGTATGGTACAAATTTTTGCTGGTATGAAGTATTACAAATCACGCCGCTGTGACACACAAGTATATCTGTGTTACTTCTCCACAATACAAAGTATTCTTTATTTGTATCCATGGTAATTTCAGTTAGGAACTGCTCTGTACAACAAGAAATACAAATTTATACCTAGGTGTCATTTGTTTAAATCCTTTTGTTCTCTCTCTAATGTAAGTCTACCTGTATCTTTACTGTATTTCGTACATTACGTGGGCCAATACTAAAAAGTCAGTTATTATTCAATACAATTTCCTTTTATAGTAATCAGACGATTGTTGAGATAAATAGCTATTTGGATTTATACTATAATCCTGTTCTAGCTACGTACTAATGTATAGCATATATATAACTCATGTATATATATATATAATCTTAGTAAAATAAGTTGAAGTAGTAAGATTAGTACATGGACTAGTCTTTTATATCTGTTTTTCTTTCTCTTTGTTGGTGCTGTTTTCCCTTTTCACATTTTCTGATATAGTGATGATGAAATCAAATCATCTTAACTTTATTTTGCAGTAATCCGCAGTGGCCATAATAGATATTGCAGTGGTGTAAAACCTACACATCTTTTAAAAACAAGCTAATGTATACATACATGTATATAGTTAACTTAGAAGTGTTAAACCTTAAACCTTGTTTGAATATGTATAGCGTCGACATACATATGGAAACGGTGTAAAGTTCACACTTTGGTTCAAAATACTCATCTAGTGTGGACCTGTACAGATATCATCGAAAATTAATTGTTCTGTTTAGTGCCCTTTTCACACGAGGCGTCATCTGCAAACCATTTTGCAAAATAAGGTTAATATTTCATTTCTAAGCCTGTTGATCATAGTTATTGGTTAAAATTTCTGCTTCATTACCAGAAAACGAACGACGGTTTTGATTATGACATGTTTTATGAAAATTTCAAACACTTACCTTTATTCAATATTTTTCTAACAATCAACGATTTGATTATCTTTACAAGGATGGAGAGTTTGATTTTAGAGGTGTGGTCTTGCGTACCGTATGGTAGAAGTTTTTTGCTGGTATGAAGTAATAAGAAACACGCCTCTGTATCACACAAGTATAACTATACATGTATGTGTTACACTTCCATTGCACAACACACTCTTTATTTTTTATCCATATGGTTAAAAGAAAATATACCCCATAAAGCTAACGTCAGATTTCAGATTGGAACTGCTCTTGTACAATAGGAAAGGAAAATGCATATCTAGGAGCTATTTTGAAACCTTTTCATTCTCTCTTTATTGGTAAGTCTACTTGTATTTTTACTGTATTTCGTATATTAAGTTGGTCTCTATTATAAAGTCAGTTATTATTCAATACAATTTGCTTAGAAATCAGACGATTGTTTGTATAAAAAGATATTTGCATTTCTACTATAATTCCCGTTGTCGCTTCACACTAATGTATAGCTTATGTATAACTCAGGTATATCTACGTTTATGTATATCTATATATCTTAGTATAAGAAGTGGAAGTAGTATGAGAAGTACAAGTCTTTTAAATTTGTTTTCTTTCCATGTTAGTGTTATTTTCATTTTTACACTTTTCTGATATAGTTACGATGAAACTAAATCATCTTAACTCTATTTTGGAGAAATCTGCTGTGGCCATAATATAACTTACAGTGGTGTAAAGTTTACACATTTAACAAGAACAATAATTTAATTAATGTATACATAAATAGTTAACTTAGAAGTGTGTAACCTTGACCCTTGTTTGACACTTGTATAGCGTCGACATAAATATGGAAACAGTGTAAAGTTTACACCTTGGTCCAATCACTCATCTAGTGTAGACCTGTCAGAGTGGTGTTACATTGACATCATTATTGTTACACTTATCTAGTGTGACATGATATATATCTACAAAATAGGTGTTGAATTTACACCATGATTTTAATACTTATCTATAGACATACATGCAGATAATGAAGTGGTGTTAGATTTATACATGTTCATATAGATACTGAAGTGGTTTAAACACTTATATCTTATGAACCTGTATATATACATATATACCCAGTGGTGTTAAAATTGACACCCTGGTTTTCGCAGTGCTGGGGAAGCAATAAAACAGCATGGCTGAGTGGAAGATGATTACGACACTTGTGGCTATGGTCTGCGCCTTCGTACCGATGTCGTATGCCTATGATGTCATCGATTTGACGACGATTAGAGAAATGGAAGCGATGTTCACCGATAAGCTTCCTAGATTAGCATGTTCTGATCCCTCGTCGGACACATGTGAATACTTTAACCAAACAGGTAATACAAATTATTATTCTCAGGAAAGATTGATGTATCAAAAATGCTTGGTAATACTCATAAAGGTGGTTAGTATGATGGTGATGACGATGATAATAACCACAATAATATTGACAATATCTGTAATAATAGCAATTTGTTTAATAGTTTTATAGTTGTAGTAGTAGTAGTAGTAGTAGTAGAAGAAGTAGTAGTAATAGTAGTGGTAGTAGTAGTAGCAGTAGTAGTAGTAGTAGTAGCAGTAGTAGTAGTAATAGTAGTAGTGTTATAGTAGTATTATACAAAGAAGTAGTATTAGTAGATAGAAGTTGTAAAAATAAAAAGTGAAATGGTATTCAATTTTCTCAATTATATTCCTTAGCCCGCGAAGTAAACAGAAACAGATTGTAGGGCGTTTAACGTGTGGTACTAAGGTAATAATTAAATAATAATAATACTAATGATAAACATATTAATAATAATGATGATAATGATATGTCTTGTTTCCCCAAGGTAGCCTCATCAGTATAGTATTAACACTGTTTTCCTGGAGCGCCTTGCGATCATGATTGTTATTACCCCGGCTCTCAGCCTAGCTACATGTACCATGAAAAGACAGTCAAGCATGATAATGATGATAATAATAATATATTTATAATAATGAAAGTAATTATAATAGTGTTAATGACGATAATATTAGTAATACTGATAGTAATAATAATAGTGTTTGTGGTAATGTTTTTAACATGATGTAACCAATGTTTCTGTGACATATAACATTAGGCAAGATCCGTGATCCTGACTTGGGCAAATACTGGCTTGACCATTGCGTGAACACAGCATACGTGGAGGTTCGATACACGAATTGCCTAGCTGTCTGGAACTATGAGACTAATATTACCAAAGAAAACACAGAAGTAAGTACGGAAGTTAGAACAGAAAGACTTGATTTCAATAGATAAGCAGATGTGAATCTAATGCTATTGTCACAAAGAAGTGTCGGTGAATAACTTTTCATAGAATTAACCAGGCTCACTTTTCAAGTTCAAAACTTGATATCATTCGAGATTGACAATCGGCTACCAAACTAAATCAGCAGAATCTGAGTACCGAATATACCTAAGACGATGTGGAAATGGAGTGTCCCGATTGCTGCGTCGGGAAACATTGCCCCACGTATAGGGTTTTCATGCAGCAAGTCTTCATAAGTTGTTTCTCACTTTGCTGATCCAAACAACCTATTTACTGCTGATAAAAGTTGTACAGAATGACCTGTACGTCTTCTTCTTAGTACCTAAAGCTACAGTCCCATATACGTCCCGGACCGTCCCGGACCATCCCGGACCCCATCCGGGGTGATCCGGGATTCGGTCCGTGTTGACACCGTGTTGGCACCGGGGTGGTCCTGGATGGTCCTGGATGGTCCTGGATGGTCCTGGATGGTCCTGGGCGGTCCGGGAGTCGACCCCGGATGTTTTTGACGGTCAAAAACTGCCGGGGTGGTCCGGGACGGTCCGGGACAATAGTTTGATCCGGGGTGATCCGTGTAGCCACCGTGCTGGGTCCGGGGTCATCCGTAGTGGCGCCGGGGCGGTCCGTGTTGATCCGTGGCAGTCCGGGAGTGAGTTATTGACCGCCCAGGACCATCCAGGACCATCCAGGACCATCCAGGACCACCCCGGTGCCAACACGGTGTCAACACGGACCGAATCCCGGATCACCCCGGATGGGGTCCGGGATGGTCCGGGACGGTCCGGGACGTATATGGGACTGTAGCTTTTAAAGCATCACACTTTTTTGAACAAAACATCCCGGACCATCCCGGATCACCCCAGACCATGGTCCGGGATGGTCCGGAGTGGTCCGTGCTCGTCCGTGCTGGTCCGGCTTTATATGGGACTGGGGCTTTGAGCTACAGTCCCATATACGTCCCGGACCGTCCCGGACCATCCCGGACCCCATCCGGGGTGATCCGGGATTCGGTCCGTGTTGACACCGTGTTGGCACCGGGGTGGTCCTGGATGGTCCTGGATGGTCCTGGATGGTCCTGGATGGTCCTGGGCGGTCCGGGAGTCGACCCCGGATGTTTTTGACGGTCAAAAACTGCCGGGGTGGTCCGGGACGGTCCGGGACAATAGTTTGATCCGGGGTGATCCGTGTAGCCACCGTGCTGGGTCCGGGGTCATCCGTAGTGGCGCCGGGGCGGTCCGTGTTGATCCGTGGCAGTCCGGGAGTGAGTTATTGACCGCCCAGGACCATCCAGGACCATCCAGGACCATCCAGGACCATCCAGGACCACCCCGGTGCCAACACGGTGTCAACACGGACCGAATCCCGGATCACCCCGGATGGGGTCCGGGATGGTCCGGGACGGTCCGGGACGTATATGGGACTGTAGCTTTTAAAGCATCACACTTTTTTGAACAAAACATCCCGGACCATCCCGGATCACCCCAGACCATGGTCCGGGATGGTCCGGAGTGGTCCGTGCTCGTCCGTGCTCGTCCGGCTTTATATGGGACTGGGGCTTAAGCAGTGTATATCAATGCCATCATTCACTATTAGTATTCAGTGAAACAAAGAACATTGGTTTTTATCTACCTATTCACCGACACCCCCACTCTCTCTCTCTCCCTTTCTCTCTATCTCTCTCTCTCTCTCTCTTCCTCTCTCTCTCCCTCTCTCAAATTTCCTGAATTCATTCTCGATCTGCATTCCCCACTCTCTCTCTCCTCCAATCCCTCTCTCTATTTTGGCAACCTCTCTGCCACACTAATCATCCAACTCCCTACTTCCCTCTCCCCTCCCTTCTCTCTCCATCTCCCATCTCTCTTCCTCTCCCCTCTCTCTCTCTCTCTCTCTCTCTCCCCTCCACCCCTCTCTCTCTTTCTCTCTCTCTCTCTCTCTCCCCTCCCCCTCTCTCTATTTTTCTCTCTCCCCTCCCTTCTCTCTCCCTTAATTTCAATTTCAATTTATACATGTTTCCAACAAAACATTACAAAGCGATTATAAGCATTTAAAACAAATGTAAACAAATAACCTCTCCCTTCCCCTCTTTCTCTTTTTTTTCTCTCTCTCTCACTCTCTCTCTCTCTCTCCCTCTCTTTCTCTTTAATCAGGAGATGCATCGCATACAAGGCGTTAGTGGCGGCCTACATGCGACTATTTCTAGACAAACCAAAATGTTGGATCCGACTCATCTAGATGAGAGAAGTCAAAGAATCATCTCATTCATGAACCAAGGCACTTATTTTTCAACAACTGAAGATGCATTGTGAGTCATACATTATTATTTCATCGATAAGGAATTCGAAGAAGAAAAGGAGAAGAAGAATAGCGATCCTTATATGTAAACAAAAAATGATAATAATAATAATTTAATTTGTTGGTTAAACACTAACGAGGGACAAAAGGAAAAGGCAAAATTAAGTTGTACTCCGATATATTTGTTTTGATTTGTTAGTAAAGAACGTGAGGTCCAGGACAACATGACAACTATCTTCGCTACCGGAAAGGTTTGTCGGAAGAGAGAGCATGCACAGAGGAAGAAACGATCGGAGCAATGCTTGAACATGGAACCAGGCCTTCAACACCTGATGAGCGAATCACGTGACTATGATGAATTGCTATGGGCGTGGAAAGCATGGCACGATGCGGTGGGGCCGAAGATAGGCAAACTCTACCCAACCTATGTTTCACTGTTAAACGAAGCTTCGATAAATGGGGGTAGGTACATGCAGGCGCGGATCCACGGAGGGAGGGGGGGGGGGCGACGGGCCCGCCCCCCTGCCAAAAAAAAAACTAAAAAAAAAGAATTTTCTCACGAATTAGAGGGGGGGGGGGGGAATTCACCAACTGGCTGAGTCGCCGCTAAATATTTCATGAAAACTTGGACAAAGATTGGGGAAAAGGGGCTCTTACCCCCCCCCCCCCCGCCTCCTCCCCCGTCCGCTTGTTCATTTTCCCACGAATTGCCCCCCTCCCCCCTCTTGCCACCGGCTGGATCCGCCACTGGGTACAAGTAGAATTGTTTTCATCTGACCGACAATGCTCATACCACACAAGTATCCTATTTTACATGATCTTGCCATACTACATTTTGTATTCAAACAACCTTTCCCATTATTAGAGGTGTTGTGGTCGATTGGATACGTCGCCGGATTGTCGATCACAAGGTCCGCGGTTCGAGTCCCGCCGCTGCACTAATGTCCTTTGGCAAGACATTGATCTACATTTGCCACACCTCCACCCAGGTGAAGTAAATGGGTACCTGGTAGGAATTTATTCCTTGATACGCAGCGCGCGTAACAGCTGCACTGCTAAAGCCAGGGTAATTATGCTGCATTATTGTAGAGCGCTTAGAGACTTCTGACAAAGTAAGTGTTAGGCGCTATATAAACACTGTAATTATTATTATTATTTTCTTTCGCGAAGCAAAGACATTGAGATATTTTATTGGTTATAGATATTTGATTTGGGTATGCACTTTAAATAGGCATTTCCAACACAAATGCAAATAAGGGAATTTATTTATGTTAATGGTAAACATTAAAAAGATTACAGGGCTTGATGTTCTTAAAAAAAATCCACCTGTTCATTTTGATAGACTGGAAAATTACACGAACCGCTCCGGAATAATGTTTTATTAAAATGTAGTTAGGCAAACGTTACGCTAATTCATTGGTGCAGGGCTTACAGTACCTGTAATGACAAAAAATTATCACATGATTGTAGTTCGTATCATGTTCTTACACTTGTTAGTGTTGTTTTTCGTGCTTTTTTTTAGTAATTGCGTGTAAAGGTTGGAAACAAGTTAATTACTTAGAGAGACAAAAGACTTTATGTGGACACATTTGGAAACCATTTTAATTTATGATAATCATGTATCTTCCCAATCAAGGTTATGAAGATCGTGGCGACTTACTCCGTCGTCGTTATGAAGACCCACACTTCGTGGAGGAGATCGACGACCTTTGGGATGCAGTCAAACCGATGTACCTCCAGATCCATGCCTTTGTGAGAAGAAAGCTGGGAGAGAAGTACGGGACGGACAAGGTTAACCCCACAGGACCTATACCCGCTCATCTCCTTGGTAAGGGCATTCAATCTTCTTGTCAAAGTGTATTAAAGCGAGTGGGTTATAATTGATGTATAGACAAATGCTCATGTACCTGTTACCTGTTACAGCTCATTTTATGTATGTTATCAACAAAGAAAAAGTCAGTCTGTCACTTAATAGTGTCTGACAGTGAAGTATTGAAAGTTAACGGGTTTCCTTGCATAATTTGAATACTAGGACACTGCTAAAGTTTAAATTTCACAGATATGACAAACATGACATATTCATAATTCCTGCAAAGTTCTACAGAATTTGATGTTGGCTGCAAAAGGGACATAGTACCTTTAAATTAGGAATTTACAGGACAGCATCCGCTTCTAAAGTTACTCACTTAGTCCAGGGACGTGATAGAGAAGGACAGGAATCAAGCCGCTCTCCTTTGACCCCATGCTCCAAGCCGCCGAAAAGTTATGCGCTAATCTGCAACTGTTGACCAGGTGGTGAGATAAAAGAGCGCATGAAATTTCAGGATTTAGAATTCCTACATCAGAAAATGGTATCACTGCAACTGTTCGCTGTCCCTTCCAATGATTTCTCATCCATTGTTGAATGTGTAAAGAGTAGAACAAGCGAACACAAACTTGTGTACTTTCATCCTTTTTTAAACTTGAAAAATACAAAAAACACGCGAAAACACGCATTAGCAAACTTAATGTTATTGAAGATTGTAAATCATGGATTAAATAACGGGACATTAAAGCATGCACAAATTAGCGCATCATCCTAAAATATTGAGTTTTTGACAGGATGTAACCTTTATGTTACCAACTCTGGCATACAAATTAAAGGAAGGACGGAGTTCTAAATTTGAAACTTTGTTTGATGCACTATTCCTAATAAAATCCCCATATAAAGTTTTTGATTTACACTGAAATTTTGCCGGTAATTTAATATTTGTAATAAATGTAAAACTGGTGCCTGGCTTCCGAAATTCCCCGCAGTGGAAGCGCGGTTCGGAGCATGGAACTTCAAAGCCAAGTGGAATGTTACACATCCCATTGTTACGCTTTAGAACTCAAGAATGCGTTTGAATAAATTACAAGAGTTTCGCCTCCTTTTCTTTCACCTCCCTGCTTAGTCACAATGTTCACCATATCACAAAACATGAACGCTTATGTTTTAAAAGTCACATCCGAAAGCAGTCTTGCTCGAAAGGCGTGTCTTGTATCTTCAACACGATTGCATAGCCTTTCGAGAAATCAACCTAGACAATTAAAAGAGCCTCCAGCGCCACATATTGGAATGTGCGAACATGACAATGATCGACGTACTACGTCATCTAAAAATTATTTATATCGGATGTACACTACGGTATTGAAATGCCCTTGAAGTCTTTTCCTCGAAAGTCTTTGCGATCAAGTTATTCCTGATCTTTAAAAAACGTTTGTATCTATAGAAAGCTTATTTTTAATACCTTGTATCTCTTCAATAAAACGTCTTGTTTCATTTTTTGTTCTATTTCCTTTCCCCTATTGTTTCTAAAGGTAACATGTGGGCTCAGAAATGGGGTCAAATCTTCGATTTAGTGACTCCCTACCCCGGCCACGGGACCGTAGATGTCACTGAAGAGATGCAGAAACAGAATTGGACTGTCAGCAAAATGTTCCATGCTGCTAACAAGTAGGCTTATTTAATTTTATAAAAAATGATGATTTAGAAGTAGCATTGATATTTCTGATATATTAAGTTTCTCAATAGTTTTTTCTCTTTAAAAAAGGTTCTCCTCTTTTAATCGAAATATAATTCCATTGTTCCAACATTGTTTCAAACATGACAATAATTAACAATCAAAGCACAAAAATCAGAGCATTTTCATCTTTCATGATTATACGCTGATAAGCCTTTTCGTGCTGACATCAGTAAACAAACAGGATTTAAAACCATTTAGTAGGGTCGCATCTATGAAGTAATAATTAATTTCCATGCATTTGATGTCACAACTCCAATGTATTATCTGCACTTCAGAAGAAGGTACAACCCCAGTCACACAATCGAGAAAGAAAAATACGACCGGCTTGGGGTCAGTGGGGAGTTGCATCGGCTTAGGGTCAGTGGGGAGTTGCATTTGCGTTGTGACTGTGGTATCTGATGTAATTTCAGATACAACCCTTAGTTTCAAAAACTCACAATTAATACTGATCCTTTTTTTGTGTATTGCTTTCCTAGTTTTTTCACTTCTCTTGGATGGAGGTCGATGCCAAACGCATTCTGGGAGAAATCGATGTTGGAGAGACCACGTGGCCGACAGGTAGAATGCCATGGATCTGCCTCGGACTTTTACAAGAACAGGGAAGTCAGGTGAGTATCGATTAACAGGGTCGATAAGTTGAACAGTTTAGTGTACCAAACACCACTTTACGGTCCAAATTCGATCTCATGGCCCGGTAACAAATTTTGGATCGAATCCGGCAGTATGTTATGCCCGGTGTTGGTATTCTCCGAACAGCCATCGGATCCTAGTCGGATCGAACTAAAAAAATCAAAGGTCAAATACAGTAAGAGAGTAAAAGAGAGGTTTTCTTTTATGTGTTGCAACAGATGCGGATAAACGTAAACGTAATAAATACATGTAATATTTTTTTTTTAAACGTTACGAAACTATGACGAATGTATAAAACAATTTGTGTGACAGGGCAGATGTGGCCATCATTTTACAAAGTAGCCCTACATTCGCCGAAACAGTATTGTTACGAATCATGTTGACAGTCGCATTGTAAAACGTAGATGTTCGAAAGCATTACCATAGTATGTAAAAAAGCAACATGATTCTATAAAAATAAATTTGATATTTGAATTAGGATTAAGATGTGCACTGAGATTACGATGGAGGACCTCTACACAGCCCACCATGAGATGGGCCATTGTCAATACTTCCTTCATTACCGACACCAGCAGTACGAGTTCAGGGAAGGTGCTAATCCAGGATTTCATGAGGCTGTAGGAGACACCATTGCCCTGTCAGTGGATACTCCTAGCTACCTTCATCAGCTAGGTCTTCTAGCAGACGACAAGGTGGACGAGGGTAAGACAGCACTTGTACATTGACAAGTCTCATGAAGAATGGTCTTTGGCACAATCATGATGCGCCGTGTTTAACGAAAGAGGAAAGAGGCGAAATTTATTAATAAAGGTTTGTAATGAGGTCGCCATAGATCCTTGCTTTGGAATAATAATCCAGTGTTATGTGAAGAGAGATACAGCTGTCATGGTTTTATATTTAAGTCCCTTCGGCAACTTTCTCAAGAGGCATCCTTTTTGTTGACATTTAAAGGTACTACAGGTATGTCCCATTTGCAGGCCAACAAATGAAAAAGTTAAATTCTAACGGCCTTTAAGATAATACTAATTTAGAACTTCCCTCAAAACGAAAGGGCTTAAAAATAACGAGTATTAGTTGTGGAATTTAGTGATTGCAATCATTTAAGTAATAGTCTGGTTTTCAGACTCTTGTACCGAATTGTCGTATTTCTTATCATTTTGATGATTACAGAACCTTGCAGTACACACCAATACTTATATGCTACATGATCAACTTTTCTGATCGATTCTACGCCGTTTCTTTCACAATGCAATCGCATGACCAAAACTCAGCTTTATTTTTAAATATGTCAAGTGCTTGAATTGCGTTTTAAAACATAAATCAGTAAAATTGGCCTCTATATCATCAAAGTGCTATTATGCGGTCGAGTGTATTAAACAATCACAAATGTTCATTATGTACTGAAGAATTGCAGATCAACTATCTTATGAGAGTGGCTCTAGACAAGATATCCTTTCTACCTTTTGGTCTCCTGATTGACAAATGGCGTTGGAAGGTGTTTAGCGGTGAGATCCAGCCTGAAGATTACAATACGGCATGGTGGAACATGAGGTATGAACAACATTAAGAAATATAACGTTCCAGTTTTCCCCTGTTAATTTAAACAAAATGAATAGAGTAAAGTAAGTAATTTCCCCCTCCAACCATGAAATGTTCCTCGAAATTAGAGAGCAACGTTTTTTCTTCTATATACCTTATACATTTTTTTCCACACCCAACTTTAACACTCCTTTCTTTCCGTTTAAATTCCATTAGTTAAAGATGGTAACATAGACTACCGTACATAATATAGATAGAAGTGTTCTTAGCCGAATATCATCATATTGATCTTTTCAAGACCTTATCAATTTTGCTATTAAATAGAATTTGTTCGAATTGTACGTAGTGATTGTACTGAATTGAAGTTCATGATGTTTGTTATAAATACCTATGATAGCCAATCTTTCATAATCTAACGGGCTTCGTTGGTTGGTATAACCTCAATCGATTGGTTTACAGTTAATAAGGGGATGTATTATTTACTGTACCAGTGGCAGATTTAAGTGAGCATAACTCTCCCATTCCCCCTTTCGAAACCCGACACACAAGAAATGCCCTCTTCATATTCATTACGAATTCTTTCTTCGGATTTTTGCCCATCTTACATAATCCCGGATCCGCCCCCGGAAAAGATACCACTGTCAAATGTTTATACTGGACCCTATATCATCTCACAACACCTGTGTAAGCCTTATGCACTGTCTTGTTCTTTCTTTAAAGACGACATTACCAAGGGATAGAGAGCCCCATAGAACGCACACCAACTGATTTCGACCCCGGAGCGAAATACCATATAGCATCAGGAACACCGTATATAAGGTGAGTATGCACTCTCTCAATGCAGAGGAGAAGACATTCACTCTTTTATGAGACACATTATCTCCAGTCAATCCACTCCAGATTATAGTGGAATACACTCTAAGGAAGTGGTTTGTATTACTCATTTGAGAGTGGATTATAACATGTTCAGCGTGGATTTTCACTCTCAAATGAAGCGATCATAATATAACACATACAATTTAGTTTTCCACTAGAGAGGAGTGATGAAGCGTCCGGTGGCTTTCTGGCATTCGATACCATTCCACCTTGGGGCCATGTCTGCCTTTTATTAAAGGCATTTTATATAAAATGCCTTTAATAAAAGGAAATAAGAAAGCACTTTTTTAAAAATACATTTGTTTGTGCAAGTTAATTTTTTTAACTTGCATATTTGTGACAATAATCTCGCGCCTTGAATGTATATTGTATAAGAAGAAAGTGTTTATATTAATGTTGATGGAATGAGAAACCTACTGAACTGAGATTTTTCATCATTGATATTTAATAGTAAGCATATACCTCGGATATCATTACTTTTTGATATTTATTCATTTATTTATTTATTTATTTATTTAATTATTTATTTGTTTTTCTATTCATTTATCTATTGAAACATTTAATTAGGATACACAAAATCAGATCAAGGCTATTTTTAGTTGTAGTCCTGTAACGTAAACAAATCATAATTATATAGTATACCGCATAGAAAATAACAAGGAAAAAAATGTAATGTAATAAACATTCAGGCTTTAAAAAAAGAGTGGATATGTCTCAAAAGCTTATTTATTCTTTTTATCTCATAATGTATCTTAAAATGTGCTATTTTACCTGTTTCTGAAGGTATTTCGTGAGCTTCATCATCCAGTTCCAGTTCCAAAAGAAACTTTGTGAGGAATCCCAAAGTACTGAGCCCCTACATCTATGCAACATCTACAACTCAAAGGAAGCCGGTCAGAAATTCGGGTAATTAAACAATTTGGAGATCTACAGCATTTAGTTCCGGGCCCTATTTTGTTAAAAGCTATAGGGTTAAATTAGGATTGCAATAATTTATATATATATATATATATATATATATATATATATATATATATATATATATATTATTTATATATAAATCTTTCAGCCAATGGTGGGTACATGTATTTAGTTGTTGTGTTAAGGTAGTTTTAAAGTTAGGGTCTTTGTTATGGTTATTGTTAAATTTGAAATGAAATGAAATAAATAGAGATGGAAAGAAATGAAATTGAATGAATAGAACAAAAATGAAATGAAAGTGATTGAAAGTAAATGAAATGAAAAAATAAAAATCATATGAAATAAAAATAATTGAAATTGAAACAAAAATAAATGACATGTAAGGAAATGAAAAGAAAAGAAAGAAATGCAATGAAAAATGAAATTAATAAAATAAAGCGAAGTGAGATTTTGACATTCCAAATGGACAATTCAATGGAAAAAAGACTTAGTCACTGATTTTCCTTTCTCCTTTTCCCGTCGCAATAGATCAATGCTAGAGATGGGCGCCAGTAAACCTTGGCAGGATGCTATGGAGGCTTTGACAGGACAGAGACGTATGGATGCTAGCGCCATCATTGAATACTTCCAACCACTCGTCAAATGGCTTACAGAGGAAAACGAGAAGAATAATGAAAAGATTGGGTGGGATTAGCGATAACTTTCCTCTAAAAACAGGGAGTTGTCTTATGGTTATGGCAAATTGTAGACTATAGCAGGGGTGGATGCAGGGTTTTGGTGAAAAGGGTTGGGGTGCCAACTCCGCGAAAAGAATATTCTTCATCTTCTGGTAGTCATTCAACCCCGCAGATTATTTATGTTATTACTGGCAAAGAAGACGTCATCATTTTTCAGATGATCTTTCTTTAGTATGAAAATTGAAAAGACGTGCTCTTTTTTGTTGTTTACTTAGGCATTCCAGTGGGTTTTGAAGAGACGGGCACCGCCGACTACGCCCCCGGTGTATCCGCTAATATACTCTAGTTTGATTTAGAGGTGGATTGGAAGGGGAGAGTAAGAGGAGCGATTCTAGAAGAAATCTCCTTCTCTCTCTCTCCCCCTTTTTTAGGGGGGGGGGCAGTTCTTGCATTTATGTTCTACATGACTCTCGCGATTTTTGTTGTTGTCTTTGGGCGGTGGGCTTGAGCACTCCTCACAAAAACCCCTCAAAAACGGCTACCAGAGTGGAGGTACAATTAGAGTTTGCTAATTCAATCACGCCATTTGGCACATTTATTAATAATGTTCATTATCTAAAGTTTCAGAAATTATGTAATGGCGGCTTCGGATTCGAGTGCCCCATCCTACCTTGAAGCGATTTAGCAGAAGTTCTTTCGTGATTATTTTAATAACATTATCTCGTTCATTTTTTTTTCTTCAATTAAGTATACTCATCCTTCGTTTGGAGTTTAGGTAGTTTAAGAAAACACACAACCAATATTATAATAATCACCGTCTTAGTTTGGTATTTTTTTCTTTAAAATCAATATATTGGTAACTTATTTATATTTTAAACAGTAGCTTAGTAGCATTCTATTTACTTTATAAATGTTTGCCTGCACCATTCTTTTAGCCATTCACCTACAATTATAGATGACTTTGTAAACTTCCCTTTCACGTCAAAAGTTATTTTAATTTTTCTTCAAATCTCCCATAATGTCAGCTAATTAGCTTTAAGTTTTGTTCACTTTGATTCTCAAAAATTTGTCATTTTTAACTGATATACATCTTTCTTGTCATGTAACTATTAAAGCTGTGTATAATTTCGGGGAAATAAGATTGGATAGTTGAAATATTTATGTCTAGTCATGTTAAAATGCAAGTCTGCTTTTAAGTCTTTATGTTATTCTTCCAATCAAACGTCAATTTGTTAATATGATTTTATTGATACTACTTGTTTCGAGATATCCCTCGTTTGATAGTTCAGAATCAGTACTCACGTGTGTATTTGATACAAGTTTCAGCCTAGTAGGTCGAGCAACAGGTTGCGAGTGTGGACGCAGTTAGTTGGACGAACATTAAATTAATCCTTCGGAAAAACTAGGTTATCTAGACATGTCTTATTGAATATATGAATGTATATGAACCTGAACCGTTCTTTGAAATATTATATGTCCATGTCAATTTACATAAATAGATAATTTGATTTGAAAGAAAGAAGCAAAGACACAGTTTTAACGAATGGAACTGTGTTTCATACATGTATATGCTGCATCAATCATGAATACATATTGAATCCATCAGAACCTTTCCAAGCCCAATTTAATTCCCAAATCACTCCGCCAAACCGAATCTAAACCGACAAGTTATTGGCTATTATGAGTAATGTAAAGTTTGTGTGCGGGTCTGAAGTCGATCCTCTGTCGGTGTGATTGTCTGGGATGTCATGGAGGAGCCCTTATCTGTTCAATCGGGTAACCTGCAGAAGATTGGTAGTCACCTTGACGAGAGGAGTATATGGAGATGAGGATGGAGAGAGAGAGAGAGAGAGAGAGAGAGAGAGAGAGAGAGAGAGAGAGAGAGAGAGAGAGAGAGAGAGAGATTGAGAGAGAGAGAGAGAGAGAGAGATTGAGAGAGAGAGAGAGAGCGAGAGAGAGAGGGAAGAGAGAGAGAGAGAGAATGAGAGAGAGAATGAAAGTATTTCAGGCGACCAAGTGTGCAAAGAAGAGGAAGAATAACACTGAGCGTTTACCATGTTATACTGACCATCCCTCTCTCTCTCCCTCTCTCTCTCCCTCTCCTTCTCTCTCTCTCTCTCCCTCTCTCTCTCTCTCTCTCTCCCCCCATCCCTTTCTCCGTCTTGATCTCTATTTTGGGGATGCTCTGTCTCTATGGTGCTCCCTTACAAAGCCTACGCATCTTGATATGTGCAGCTAGCCGACTAGGAAATAACCACAGGTTGAAACAAAAGTCAATGAATACTATACTAAAGGCAGCGATTTCCACGAGCGTTTGCAACACAGAAATTCCAGCTTAATGAAATTTCATTGTGGTTGCCAATAATAGAAAAAAAAATATTGATGCATGCACACTTCAACCGCAAAAGGCCTTCCAAGTGAAATGATATCAAAATGCAAAAGTATAGTGTAACAGAAAAAATAAACCGGAAATTGTGGAGACCTATCATCGGATCTTTCAGGGCCATTTGATATTCGGAAATCTAAAACTGTGAAATCACTGTTTGCTTTAAGCCTTAATGTAAATATTTTTTTTTGTTTTCATAGGTTTTTATTCTTTTCTCTCATAAAGAAAATTGTACATAATTTATAACATTGTATACAAAATAACAAAATAATCTTCACATAGGTCTAAATAAATTTGCAAGTGAACTTTTACATTTCCATACAAGGTTACAAATAAAGTTACACATTTACAGATGAAATTTTTTTACATAAACAAAATTATATTTTCACATTTTAAACAAATCGCAAATAAAGTCTGTACTATTTCCTCGACCAGTTTGCGTATAAATTTCAAATTATTTCTTTTCTTTTCCACAATATTTTTTTTTTCTTTTCTTAAATTTCCTTCGAAGATAAAAAAGAAGGGTTATGATTTAAAAATATAAATGATACAAATAAAAAGAGAAAGAGCTAGAGAACCCATACCCCCGCCACACACAAAATTTAAACACATAACAAGTACAACAGTATACAAAACACACACCAACATACAATTGTAGAACGAACAAATAAACAAAAGAAAAAGAAAAGAAGAAGAGAGAAAAAACAAGCAAGGGTTGAGAAGAGAGGATGGTCTAGAAGTTGTATATTGATAACAATTAAAAACAGAAAACATTTTTTCTAAACTTTCCAAGGCTTCCCATTTCCTTAAATGAATTGAAAGGGTAAAACTAGAGAGCGGGTTCGACAAAGGTAAAGTCTACAAAAGTGCGTTTGCAAAGCTAAATTTAGCCAGTGTTGCAGTCAAGTCCGGCCACCATAACAATAGTGACCATGACCTGGTGCTCGGACCGAGTCGCATTTACGACAACTATGGGAGGTAATATTTCTTAGTAATAAAATGAAATAATAATTTTGGTTACCAAGGAAAGCTTCATCAGCTTCAATCCTGTTTCTTCTGAGGGCCCTGCAATTATCAACTAGGTGGGGAGTGGCAAGATCGATGTCAACTAATCATTGGCAAAGAACCTTAGAGCGAGGCTGGGATTCGAACCCTTTATCCTTGGATTGAGAGTCAAGTGAATGAACCACTATACCACAGCATCTCTGTACATAGCGGCCCCGTGATTCGGAACTATCGGTCTTGACTAAAACCCATGTGAAGTAACAACCCGAAAACGAGAGAAAGCTTTAAAAAGAAGGAAAAACCAGTACCACCCCTCCCATCGTACGCTAAGACACTGGTGGCGCTACTACACATGCCCTTTAACCTATTTTAACAAAAGATGATTTGATTTTCGGCACCCCATGCAAAGCAAATTAAGTCATAACAACCATCTGCTTTTTGGTAGATGGATAAAGCAGGTCGTATGGACTTCCTTTTATCGAGGGAAACGCCTACAGCTCTTATGTTGTTCCACGAACACTCTTAAAATCAACAGTATTTATATAAACTGAGCTCATACCCTAACGCATAGCTGTCGTACGGGGGGGGGGGGGGGGGGGGGGTGGTGGGGGTGATAGACGTTAATAAGCAGAGGGAAAGGGGTGTCGGAGTAAACATGCTTATACATGTATAGGCAACGCTAAACTATGGCAATATAACAATAAGGGGTTTTACATTTCATTATTTGATTATTATTTTTTTTAATTAATACAAAAAAAATCCAAAAAAAAAAATCAGTTTTCTGCATTTCCCACCAAATATTTTGTTGGTGTCTCCACATTCTTTCATTTTAGCGCCCCCCCCCCCAACCCACCCACGCCGCGAAGCCTCTGGTTGCATCTCTCGCAGAAGCTTTTCTCATGGTATAGGCGTAACCTTCATCGTGTGCTTGCGATTGGCCTTTCTACATTTCCGCTCATCCTTTTCCCATTCATTGTCATTGTAATCATTTTAACATTCAACTTTAATACTATAGTAGATAGGAAAAGAGAGAGAGAGAGAGAGAGAGAGAGAGAGAGAGAGAGAGAGAGAGAGAAGAGGTTACATGTGCAAAGGACTAGTCTGCAGGCACAAACTCTCATGCGACACTTTACCACAATTTCTATAGCCTTGAACAGAGCCTAGTTCTGGCATTCTCTGGTTGTCCCTCCAATGAAGCTCCTTGGTCCCTTTTGTGCAGGGCAGCTAAAGTACAGAGCGTTATGTAGAATGCTGTCAGCGTAGTCTCATTGTTTGCAGACATTGTTACTAACAGCGCGGACAACGGTCTGTGCATGCAAACTAACCAGTTAAAAGTATTCCTATCTGGACAGGTATACATTGTATTGAGAGTAGAAACACACACACATCACATGACAGTTGCCCGCTATCGGTGTCATTCCATGTCGACACAATAATTCACTTGGTTGAAGAAGAGCTCATCATGATGGAGTTCACCACGAAAATCGTCTTCTTCGGCTTGATTGCTATGTTTTCGACGTCCATTACGATGTCGATGACGATGGATGAGTCTGAGAATGACCAGGAATCTGAAGGTAGTAACTACAACGAGACGCAATTTGAAATCTTCCTGGAGGAGATGAACCAAAGAGCGATGGTAGAGTATCAAAACTCTATAGAGAAGTCTTGGAACTACAATTCGAACATCACAGAATATAACAAACAGCAGATGGTATGTTAATATCATTACGTTCTATTTGCAGGATTAGACAAATATATAATAATTCAACTCGTTCTATTCTTTCTATTAAAAAAAGAAGTACGTTCACTTGTTATTATATTATATAATATTCAATATATTTATTGAAGTTTAAAAAGATGAGCGAAATTACTATAAAACAGAATAAAGAATATAGAAATACTAAACTGGATACACTTGTGTTCTTGTTTGACGTACGTATCGGCTAACAGATCTAGATATACTACACTGTATTAATAAATATTTTTAAATTTGTTTATAAGAAATAGGACATGTATCACTTTTAAATAGTATCAATACCATCCAAGGATTCCCATAGCACATTGACCTACGTACTAGATATGCGCGTTTGCTCAAAATCAGGAGGGCGTTAAGTCACTTTATTAGTTTGTAGGCACAAAGTTTTGTCAGTCGCTGTGTGTAACTATGTCTGCACTATGAGACTACAATAGGTTCTTTACTTTAGCCGCCCCAGAGACCGATACATCTATAAAGGCTCTGTTTAAAGGTACTATGTCCCATTTGCAGGCAAAAATGAAAAGGTTAAATTCCAACGGCATTTGAAAGATAATACTAACTTTAGAACTTCCCTAAAAAAAAAAAAGGGGGGGGGTGGGGGACTTGAAAATTAATGTCTTTAAGTGGGAAAATAACGACTATTAGTTGTCAAATCGACTTAGAGAGCCAATAAGTAATAGTGTGATTTTCAGACCATTTAACCGAATGGTCGTACGTTTTATACTGCGCAAAGATTCATTCAGTTTAATTTTGGCCATTACAAGAAGTGGGTTATTTATGTTCACGTATCCTTTACAGCTCATTTTATGTATGTTATTACGAAAGAAGAAAAAAGCCAGTCAGTCACTCAATAGTGCCTGACAGTGAAGTCTACAAAGTAAACAGGTTTCCTTGCATAATTTCAATATTGGGACACTGCTAACGTTTAAATTTCACAGATAGTACATACATGACATATATTAATTCCTGAAAAGTTCTACAGAATTTGATGTTGGCTGCAAAAGGGACATAGTACCTTTAAGGCTTTAGGAATAGTGGTAAAGTGTCAAATCACAGTCCGTGCTTGAGGGCTATAGATTATATAACCATAGTGGAAACGCCCTATTGGCTCTCAGCAGACGTACATAATTATATCATTTCTTCATGCCCTGTACTGCAGTGCGAATGATTTATATATACTCCTACACATAGAGATACCGACATGTCAATTGTCATGTAGTGTAAATCCAATACGCTATGACACGACTTGAAGCTAGCTGGATATCGCTTTCTCTCTGGTATCCATTCAGCAAGGGCATTTTAATTGACCCGAAAAACAATGCAGAGTATTACGGATACTAGTAACAAGGCCAAGGACTTGTCTGCCCACGTGTTTTTGACATTTGATGTACATACAATATGAGATTTACCGGGGGATTACAAATTTGGAGCTTGAATAATTTAAACACTTGAAATGTTCTTATATATGCCTTAAAGGTACTATGTCCCTTTTGCAGCCAACCTCAAATGCTGTAGAACTTTGCAGGAATTATGAATATGTCATGTATGTCCTATCTCTGAAATTTAAACGCTAGCAGTGTCCTCATATTCAAATTATGCAAGGGAAACCGTTTACTTGCTAGACTTCACTGTCAGACACTATTGAGTGACTGACTGGCTTTTTTTCTTCTTTGGTAATAATACATGAAAAGAGTTGTAAAGGGTACATGAGTATTTGTCTACATCAATAACCCACTTTTTGTGATGGCCAAGATTAAACAGTATGATTGAATCTTTGCGCACCATAAAACGTATGACCATTCGGTACAATTGTCTGAAAATCAAGACTATTACTTTTGGGCTCTATAGCCCTAAAGTCGATTTGACAACTAATAGTCGTTATTTTCCCACTTGAAGACATTTTCAAGCCCCACCTTTTTTAGGGAAGTTCTAAATTAGTATTATCTTTCAAATGCAGTTGGAATTTAACTTTTTCATTTTTTTGGCCTGCAAATGGGACATAGTCCCTTTAAGCTACGGTCACAAAGGTTCGTACGAACGATTATTTCATACGAATCTCCCTGTTTTTCCATTGTCTTCCCGAATTTCCATTGTCTGAAAATCGTTCGTACGGAATTCGTAGCAGTTCGTAATGGCATTTGTGACCGAGGCTTTACTCTTTCTTCTTAAAGATGGTATTCGATTGGAGAAAAAAATGTGTTAAACAATCAATTTCCTATCGAATCAGTAAGATCGATATCGTTAATAATTAGATTAGGATTGAGAAAGAGAGGGAGAGAGATGAAAGAAGGGGTAGAAAGAGAGCAAAGATTGGCTGAGAGAAAGATTGAGAAATGGAGGAAGAAAGTCATGGAAATGAGGAAGAAAATGAGAGAAAGAGGTAGATAAAGAGATGTGATAATGAGATAATATTATTTTGTCTATAGATGAAGAGAGAGAGAGAAAGAGAGAGAGAGAGAGAGAGAGAGAGAGAAAGAGAAAGAGAAAGAGAGAGAGAGAGAGAGAGAGAGAGAGAGAAAGAGAGAGAGAGAAAGAGTGAGAGAAGGGAAAAGGGATGGGAAATTTCGAGTATAGAAGCTGGAAAGGTTGCCTGACTTTGGCTAGATAGGGGGTTAAGGTCGAAATAGGATTAAATGAAGAGACATATTGACCAACAAAGATAAGGAGGGAAGAGAAAGAGAAAAAGAGAAAGAGAGAGTGAGATGGAGACAAAATGAAAATAGTACATAGACAGATAAGTATTAGACGTAAAAAGACGTAAAAAGACGGGGTACAGCTGTACGTGTATGTGGGAGGCGGATGAGCACAATGTTACTGAACGTAACCTCTTCACGAAGTAAACCATAGTCATTTCTTTTTTCCTCTCTTAGATTGACAATAGTCTCCGCTTAGCCAACTTTTCGAAGGAGATGAGAGACCTTGCCCTTGTTTTTAACGCTACTGACTTCACGGATACCAACCAACGGCACTTCAGAAAGGCTGTCTTCATTGGAAATGCCGCTCTCAAAAACAAATCTGAGATTCAAGAAGTCAGTATAATGTGATTCTTTTTTCCTTCTATTTTGTAAGTTATTTTTCATATCGATAAGGCACCGATATCCATAACGATTAACGGTACACCTTACTTGTACTTCAGGTGCCCTACTTAAACATACACACATCATATATATTTACTTGAAAATAACATTGTCGTTATACCATTAGCATTATCGGTGAAGTTTGACTAGCCATATGTATAGATAGATCAAGATCACTCTATATTAATGATTAAAAGACCCTCATACGATCAGAGGTGAATTGAAGGTTCTCTAAAAAGGGGGAAGCTGCCCAGAAGCATAATTAAAATCCCCGATAAGCAAGAAAAAGGTTATCTGATCTTTTAGTGTTTTTTTTCCTGCGTATGGCATGGGGCATTTGTGCCACCCTTCAAAATTCAAACTACACCAGTCTATAAGATGAATATGTCAGCGCCATGCAATGTGAGAGGAGAATTACACATAAATAAAGGTCACGCTCGCAACTACTTTTGAAAAACCAACGCAAGGGCAATTTAATAACCACATGAATATACCATAGAAATCATGTTCATATTGCGTGATAAGTTATTGTCATGTTCACACAAGGCAACTGAAATTGTTAAGTACATAGTAGTTGCGGTCTGTGTTGAAGGCACTCCCTGAATTTTCCAAATATATATTTTGAAAAATCATTTAAAAATGATATTGAAAGCAAGATTTAATGGATAGCCAATTAAATAAAGCGAATTTAAAATGACCCTTCCCCGCGTTGAGATAATATCATTATTTAGAATTATTACTTGATTATTTTGAATTATTTTGATAATGCAAATTATTCTATATATTGCAACACGTTTATTATTGTTCTAAACAAATTTAAGGTGGATTAAAGGGCTGTGTTCTGACATTTTAACCGGAATAAATATCGTAATATAATTATTATAAATTTATTTTTATTAAGTATTTGGCGTCACCTGTGTCTGGGAGGTGAAAAATGAATGTAACCTTTAAGTTCCTCCTCCCAGTATAGCTAGGTGGGGGGGGGGGGGCTGCAGGTGGACTACTAGTTCACTACACCGGGGGTTCCCCTACTCTTATACGAATAGTGCAAAGGGTTATTTACGTGCAAAGGTGGTGACTTATAATCTCAACACAGGGCCTCCATTTATCGTCCTTTCCGAGGGACGGATTGTTTTCCACTGTGGGAGGGGCACGTAGGCTTCATTCATCCACCTGAGTTGGATTCTATATTAGGTTCGACAGGCAGACGCAATACCGACTGAGCCAACTATAGTAAAAGTTTGTCCTGTAATATACAATTTGTCATTATTTTCATACTACTATTATTATATTTTGTTTAGGGGGCAACGTTGGTTGCGAGAATGAAAGGACGATTCTCCACCGGCCAGGCGTGTAAAGAGGACGGGACGTGTTACAACCTACAGCCAGGTAAAACGATAAATAAAAAAATCCTCATAGCTCTCAGACAGGGGCAGATTCAGGGGTGTCACGAGTGTTCTCTTTGTTCACCATTTGGAGTACTAATTTGCACTGATCAATAAATAGGTGATATGGGTAAATGGTTTTTATTCGGCGAAGAGATATAACTCGAATCGGCGTAGAATTGTGTTGTGAAACACCTGACTTGAATTGACAGATCAATATGATTTTCGGTATGAGCTAGATGGCGACGACAACGCCGGTTCCGATTTATTGTAGTTGGAATTGTAATCTATCACATTTTGCTTGTGTCATATGCTAATTGCGATCTCACCAGTCAAAATGTTAAAGCATGTGCAAAAAATATAATGTAATATATTATTAATGACTGCTTTGAGAGACATAGTTGTTTTTATACGCTCAAGGGAAGGTTAAAATCGAGCTATTGCAACCTTCCCGAGAGCGTATAAAAACAACTATGTCTCGAAAATGGCTGGCTGGCTGGCTGGATGGCTGGATTTCTTAAGTGAGGTATATAATAGAAATTAGAGTAGTTCTTTCTTTTCAATGTTTGCCTACATTAACGTTCCTCTTCCAACTCGTTACCATGAATACTGATTTATCTAATGCCCGATAAAACATGATGCGTAATTTTACCGACTGGACTGCGTCAGCGTCTGTCAATGGTTATATCGTACACAGAGTGATTGCGAAATGACCATTGCAAACATTGCGTTGAATTAATGACGTATGGGTTATATTAATTGACTTCCCAGGCTTTATTAGCGCACGTATACGTAATCAATGGTAATGGGGACTTTTAGATTCTGCACGACGAGAACGCGGACTGCCCTTCTAAGGCAATGTGTCGTCACTGCCAGTGCCTTAAAAGGACGTCACATTGCCTTAAAAAGGCAGTCCACGTTCTCGTCGTGCAGAATCTAAAAGTCCCTATTAACGCAATACCAATGACGTCTCGTGTACAACGGGCATGATAGTAATTAGGCTAGTGACGTTTGTTCTTGAAGTAGAATTCTCTTAGATACTAATCATCTGTTTCGAATTGTCCGATGAAAACATTCCGTTATAAAGGTTTGACAAGAATCATGGGATATTCTAGAAACTACAGCGAGCTTTTTTGGGCTTGGGATGCCTGGCGTGATGCAGTTGGACCCGCAAACCGCCAGGATTTTGCTCGTTACGTCGTGCTGAAGAACAAAGTAGCTGTTGCAAACGGTATTCCCCTATATTTTTCATTTTTATAATCACTTGGTGTAGTATGAATACAGTCTTAATATGTTTTTGTTGATATCATTTACGTCAATTTTAAATGCAGTGAATAATTTGACGATGTTTATTGCGACTATGTAACTTTTCTTGCACATAATGTGGGGTGATTAAAGTTCAACAAACTCTCCATGCTAGCCGGAACCCCGGTCGAAAACGCCCAATGTGTAATTTTATAATGTTTATTCCGAGTTAAAATTATTCGTCGCAGAGAATATGAAATATAAAATATGTCTTATTGATAAGAAAGTATGATTAAATCAGGGACATATCGAATCCGTTATTTTGCGTGATATTTGGGCAGGTCCATACTTACCTGAATTAGAAGCATTAAAAGTACAGAAATAATATTGACAAATGTTTGAAGAAAACATATTTTAATTATTACTCGATTTTCCTCTCATGATTGTTTAATATGCGGCTACGCTGATTTATCTGTTTTTATTCAAGTAACCACTTTGGCCGAATGAGTCATCAGCTAAAATTTAGATCTGTGATTCTCATCAGGCATTGGATTCTCCCCGATTGCTTTATTCTCTGGAACTTTTATTTTTCGATGGCAGAGGAACCGAATGCTGCTGCCTACTGGCAATCATCATACGAAGATGAGGACTTCCCCAGAGTAGCCGAGGAGCTCTACCAGCAGATAAAGCCACTCTTTGAACAACTCCATGCCTATGTGAGGAGGAAGTTATATCAAGTCTATGGACCAAAGTACATCAATCTTAAAGGACCTATCCCAGCACACTTAGTAGGTATGTGTTCTCGTACGTGACGAGGGGGTGACGATAAATCGATCCAGCTGTTTTTGTATTCGACACATGATCTGGTAACAATTGCTTCGCGGTCAATAATAAACTTCAACCCGGAACCAAACATGATCAAACACATCCCTAAACTCGACCCTGAACCAAACATGAATGACAACCCTAAACTCGACCCTGGACCTGACCTTACATCTAATTGTAACCCAAACCCTATTCCTCGAGAGATTAAACCCAGAGCTATTATTGTCTTCCGAGCAGATTCGGATCACATTTCACACATGCAAGTTCATACCAACGGCATGTACACGGCTTTTGTGGGCATTATGAACTGGAACAGAAGAATAAACTGGACATGTCCCATCCATTCAGTTAGTTTGGATGAGGGCAGTGGGATCGAAACATCGATACATGTTTTAATTCCTATACCTCCCCTCCCCCTGCTCCCGCCGAGCAAGAATTAAAGGCCAGCAGGGATACCGAAATCATATTCTCCGTAAATACATATTTCTTTTGCATCCCTTTCTGACCAACCTCGTTCTCGAAATGTCTATCTTTCATTTTTGTTTACAAAGGTTAGAGAAATAAAATGTTTTTTCAGATCGCTGTTAATTTAATATCCCATCAGCCAAAACAAATGAAACCATTTATATTTTAAAGTTTTGACAAAATAAAAGAGTATAAAAGAGTATAGTACTATAAATTTACAAAGAATGGTATAAGAAAAAAAAACGGTTTTAATGATAAATAAAGAAATTACTCAATCTAATTAATTTCAGAGCAATAACATTTTCTTTTTAAATAATATTTTTATTTATGATCTTGCATTTAGGAAACATGTGGGCACAGACTTGGGCCGGATTGTTCGATTTATGTGAGCCTTTCCCGAATAAGACACGAGTCGATGTTACTCAGAGTATGGTTGAACAGGTAAGACACGAGTCGATGTTACTCAGAGTATGGTTGAACAGGTAAGACACGAGTCGATGTTACTCAGAGTATGGTTGAACAGGTAAGACGATAAACATCAGACGCTTTCATCAGTCCAATTCAATATGCACAATTTTGTTTAGATATAAATTGCCCCTGGTTTGTTGAGGTTACCATGCTTCCATGTTTGTATTGTTTCTGATGATATTAATATGATGTTATTTCAAGACATTATATTAATTCAATTGAACTAAATTGGTCATTGGTTTAATAACTTAGTCTAAAAAACCTCGAGTCCAGGTCGAAACGAGTCAGTAGTAGTAGTGTTCGGTTCCCCAATCAAAAGAACCGAGTCACGAGGGGTTGCGCTCGCAAGTGAAGTTGGACTTGAGTCTCGAGTCATTAGAGACTTTTTGATTTGCACGACGAAAACGTTGACTGCTACATGTGACATTTTTTTAAGGCAATGTGACGTCCTTTTAAGGCACTGGCAGTGCTCGGTATTGCCTTAAAAAGAATGTCACATTGCCTTAAAAGGATGTCACAGGTAGCAGTCCACGCTCTAGTCGTGCAAATCTAAAAGTCCCTAGTGTAGGCCAAGATGAGTCATACGAAAGAGGCATACGCCAAGGATGTCCATTGTCAGCTCTGCTGTTTATCTTAGCTGCCGAGCCCATGGCAAACAAAGTGAGAAAAAAATAATAATATTAAACCAATAGAAATGGTCGGGTATGACCTTAAACTATAGGTTGTTGCAATATGCCGACGATACATTATTTTTCGTTCCGGATGAAACTTCATTAAAGGGAAGTTTACATGAACTGAATCAGTTTGGCGAAGTAGCAGGTCCAAGAATAAATAAAGAAAAGACAGCCATGATATCGTTAGGAGACACTGAAAGAAGTTGGAATTTAGAGAAACATGATCTGAAATGGACCCACAAGCCTATAAGATATTTAGGTTACTATATATATTTTAATAATAATGAAGCTCTAAAGATGGACTGGGAGCAGAAGTTGATAAAATTGAGGAAAATTCTTTATAGCTGGACAAAAAGAAGCTTAACCATTTTTGGAAGAGTCACGGTACTGAAAAGTCTAGCACTTAGCCAAGTTACTCACTTGATCATGGTTGATTCCATCCCCCCAAACTTTTTGAAGATGATAGAAGGCATTATATTCAAATTTATTTGGAGTGGGAAAACAGAAAGAAAAACAGAAAAAATCAAAAGGGTTTCTCTTATGGAAGACTACAGTAAAGGCGGTATAAAAATACTTGACATACAAAGGCAATTGTTCAGTTTCCGACTGAAATGGTGGGGTAGATTTTTGAGAGTAAGAGAGTAATGGAGCGTGGAAAACATTGTTTCCTTACTGGTTCAACTTATTGGGAGGCATCAATTTACTGTTGAACTGCTCTTATAATATAACCACACTTAATGATATTCTAGTTCAAAATAAAATTCCGTCATTTTACGTAGAAATCTTGAAGGCATGGGAAATAATTAGATACTACACTACAGTGAAAGATGTTTGTATATCTATAAATGAACCAGTGACAGTTTCAGATCAGATTATTTGGCACAACAAACATGTGGTGTATGATAATCAGTCGCTCTTTTATAAAGGCTGGTACGACAGTGGTCTAGTATTCTTAGGAGACCTTTTTACGAGAGATGGCTTTCGGTCAACAGAATATATTATATCGCAGGTGCATTCCGTACGAAAATGCAATGCAATGTTTGACTATGCAAGACTTAAACGAGCGATACCACCTGTATGGGTCACTAGTTTAAAGAAGAATTTATGCATGAATATACTAGCTATGCCTGGATTACATTTGGCCTGCGATTAGTCTACGGAGCCCGTATCCTGCCCGTATCCCCTTTTCCGTGCGGCCTCTGTGCGGAGGCAGGAGGCGACCGTGAGATTTTCGTACGGATTCACGGGCTCCGCAGCCCTTACGATTTTGTTTCGCGAGAAGTTAAACAAATTTGAAAAAAATCGTAAGCCCGTAGCCCGTATACATGTCGTAGGTGGCATTGCACAATCCCCGCACGGGCATCGCCCGGAGGCGAAATTGTTATTCCCAAACAGGTTTGCAATTTCTTATATTTCCGTTCCTCTCAATGGCTGATATGTTCTACGTCATTAGCAGCTTGGAAAGAAGTCACAAACAATTAGACTTTGATTTTGTATTGCTTTGCCTCACTATTTATAAAGGCAAAAAAACTAAATAAACTGAGACTTGAACCCACAACTCTGAGTTTGTATTACGCTGTCCTTACTGATTGAGCCAACGATGGGTTGAGGAAAAGTGATTCTGCATGATTTCTATAACCCATTCACTCACCCTAACGGTTACGTCATTGCTAATGATGTAACAAATCAGCCAATCAGATGACCGGAAATATTAGCATTGGCAAACCTGTTTGGGAATATAAAAAAATAGCCGCCCGGAGGCCTCGCACTGATTGTGCAGCAAATGTACGATTTTTCGGTGAACATGGGGGCAAAAAAATCGTACAGAGATTGTAGACTCGTGGGCATTCGCACGGCCATTGCACAGCTATCGCAAGGTTGCTGCTCGCTGCCCGTGCAGTATCCGTGATATTGAGCTGTCATCTTTGCACGGAAGCTGCACGGGCTCCTTACGATTTCCGTGCGGAGGCTGCGGAGACTGCACGGCTACTGCATTCAAATTGCCCCCGAGGGCCAACACAATATATGGCACGATGCTCGTAGCTAATGTAAACACAAACATCGTACCCCGTAGCCTCCTACGATGTCTACGAAAAATCGTAGACTAATTTATCGTACAGCGCCCGGGGCAAATGTAATCCAGGCATTACACATGTTGCCTTTATTGGAAAAAAAAACTTAATGTAGATATTGATTGGTCTATGGTATTTAAGCGTAATCTTTCACAAATTAGAGAAAGCAAATTACGAGAGTTTAACTTGAAAATACTGTATAATCTATTGCCAGTAAGAAGTAATCTTTTCAAATGGGGAATATCCAATGACTATGTATGCCCAAAATGTAATATTAAAGAGGATATGAATCACGCATTTATAGAATGCAAACTAATTGAGCCTTTCATTAAACATCTGAAAGAAATATTAAGAGATATATACAAAATAAAGATACTGACGTTCAGTATCCAACACCTGCTCAAAATAGATTGTGAAAGTCATTGTACTCTATTTTTTACAATAGCATTTTGGACCATTTATAAATTGATTGTTAAACGAAATATAACTGGGATAGACAAGAGAAAAGTTGCTTCTAAACAACATTTCCCTAGAGAAATTACAAACAGATTGGAAGGTAATTCAAACTTAAAGATGATTCGATTCGAGTCGTTTCAGGCCGTAAGTCCTGCCTGTAACCCCTGCCAGTTCAAGGTTGTGGGCGTTAACTGCTTCCTTTCGAATATTATATTCCAATATGTTACTTTTATGAGCCTTTTCACCCCGACAAACAAGCAATTAATTGAAAGAGTGAACGTCAATCTAAATGTAATTTATACAGTATATTGTTCTGAAAGATTAAAATATGCCAGTGAACAAGGCTTCTGAATTACATTATAAATGCATGACATTGTGAATGATTGATATAACATGGAATATGGCACATTCATGTATGACTTTTTAATTTTTTTTTTTTTACTAGTTTCATAGCGCTTGTTAATCATATAGCTGCCATTAATTTCTTTTAAAATAACAAAAAAGTCCCGGTAAAGTTTTTACCCATGCATTTGGGTTACATCAAAGGGGAAGAAAAAAAAAGGGATTTTCTGAAAATGTTAAAGCTGATTATAATTGATCTTTGTCAATCTTCCTGTTTGTAAATAATTAGAACTACACCGTCATTAAGATGTTTGAATTAGCGGATGAGTTTTTCACCTCTCTGGGCTTAATTCCCGTACCAACATCGCTCTGGAACGAATCCATGTTCGAACGTCCTACAGACGGCAGGAAGGTTAACTGCCATGCCTCTGCCTGGGACTTCTACAACCAAGTCGACTTCAGGTTCGTTGCCTAAAAATCTCGTAAGGCTTTTGCCCCGTTTAAGTGTGTTTAAACCTGAAAATAAATGTGCATCCACGCCATCTCGCTGACTATCTATTCGATTAGCTATTCATGCTCAATTATGCATATAAAGGTGTGTTGCATAGTCAAATACACGATAGGTGTACATAGAAAATGAGATCATAAATGTAATGAACAATAGTGCGAATATGACTCATGATTTAACATATTTTTGGATATTGTGCAATGTTGTTTTGAATATATAAAGTGTAACACGATGACAATCATCACTGAAATATCGTCAGCATCGCCATCATTATCACCAATAACAAGAAGATCATCTTCATTTTCAATGTTTATTAATTTTCTTGTCACAGAATCAAGATGTGTACGGAAATAACAATGGGCCACCTGCTCACCATACATCACGAATTAGGACACATCCAGTACTACATGCAATATAAAGAACAGCACGTTCAGTTCCGTAGTGGAGCTAACCCGGCCTTTCACGAGGCCGTGGGCGATGTCATGTCCCTTTCGGTCTCCACACCCAGACATCTCCATACCATCGGTCTCCTGGACGAACTCGAAGAGGACGACGGTAATAATCATCGTTTTAAAATTTATATCAGCTTATATCACTGGCGGACTTCAGGGGGGAGGGGGGGGGGGGGGCAATCGGCCAGTGTCTTAATCGGCTACGTGACAACACCTGTATTATAATAGTTTGTGATAGCTTAATACGTGAAACCTAAAAGCGACAAACTAAAATCAATAGGTTTTAAATACCTCTTGCCTTCTTTCACCCCCTCTTCCTCCTAACCAAAACGTTTGTTAGTTGGATATAGGCAGGGAGATGGAAGGGAAGCCGTTTAATTGAACATCTTCCAAACTACATCATTCTAATTTAAGCCCAGTATTCTCTGGGTAAAGTTGTATCCCCCCTCCCTGCTAGAGAAAAAGGGGGGATCGGTTGGATAAGGGATATGTTCTGATTAAAACGGTGTTCAACATACTTATTTAAAATTAGTATTCTTTGCAAAATAAAAAACTTAGTATTCTTATATTAACGTTGACAGAAGCTGATCTGAATCATTTGATGAAGGTTGCTCTGACCAAAATAGCCTTCTTACCCTTTGGATACCTGATGGATCAGTGGAGATGGAGTGTCTTCGAGGGGACCACACCTTCTTCCAAATACAACGAAGACTGGTGGAAACTAAGGCAAGGTCCAATTTGATATTTTATTTCCACAAAAAAAAATCAATTTAGCTTTAAGATTCTCATTTTTGTCTCGCCTGCGTAGCAAAAAGCGAGACATAGGCGCCGCTTTTCCGGCTGCGGCGGCGGCGTCAACGTCAAAAACTTAACCTAAGGTTAAGTTTTTGAATTTTTGATATCATTTTTAAAGTATAAGTTCTTAGTCAATGAAACTTTGACGATAGGGTAATCAAGTATCCCCAATCATATGAGTATAATTTCAGATCACAAAGTCAAGGTCAAAGGTCATTTCAGGTCAACAGACTTGGACTATGTTGTAGCATCATCATCGAAAACTTAACCTAAGGTTAAGTTTTTGAATTTTTGATATAATTTTGAAAGTATAAGTTCTTAGTCAATGAAACTTGGACTATAGGGTTATCAAGTCTCCCCAATCATGTGAGTAGAATTTCAGGTCACTAAGTTAAGGTCAAAGGTCATTTAAGGTCAACAAACTTAGACTTTGTTGTGGCATCAACATCAAGATTTTAAAAATGCTTCTTTTTCGTTATTTTTCAACCGATTTTGATTCTGATTGTTTCATATGATAGGGCTAGGAGGGGGATTTAAAATTTCTACACAGAATCGTGCAATTCATTATCTATGCTAATTTATGCAAATTTTTTCGAAATCACAAAAAAGGCTTCTTCTCCTTCATTTCTCGACCGATTTTGATTTGGTTTGCTTTATATCGTAGAGCTAACTTTGGTACACTAAACTTCTACACAGAATTTTGAAATTGTTCTCCATTAATTAATTATGGTAATTTATGCAAATTTATTCCCAAAATAACAAAAATTGCTTCTTTTCCCTCATTTCTTGACCGATTTTGATTTGGTTTGCCTTATCTGGTAGAGCTAAATTTGGAACACTAAACTTCTACACAGAATTGTGAGATTTCGCTCCATTGATTATTTATGGTACTTTATGCAAATGAAATGAATTTATGTCCCTTCCAGGGCATCAAATTTTTATTTTTTCACCAGTTCAAAAGTGTACCACATAAAATTTACGATATTTGTTGTTGCGAGATGCGGATGAGCGCTACGTCATTGACGTTCTGGTTTATCATATTGTATTGCGTTATGCAGGCGAGACCGCCGAGAGCGTTTCCCTTGTTCTTATCATAATTTTGGCTTTCACAATTAATCTCATTTCAGGTTGAAGTATCAGGGCCTTATTCCACCCAATAAGCGAACTGAAGATGATTTTGATCCCGCTGCTAAGTACCACATATCAGCTGGGGTTCCTTACATCAGGTGAGTGCGTCATGTTGCCATGGTAAAAGTCGTTTTTTTAATAATATAGACCTACTTTGAAAAGTACAAATTCTTTTAAATGTAAAGTTGAGTAGCGGCCATGCGATTACAATGTGTAAAAAGCTGTCTGGACACGACTCGGGAAGGTTGATGTGTAGTGCATTTAAAAGTGACTCACACTTTGAGATTACTATGATCAAAATGAAAAGAAAAACGCTCTAAGGATTAAAATGTGATATTCTATATTCACCGAAGAAAGACTGTCCTGTTTATGCTTGTCTCCAAAACAGAACTTTGTGGAAGATTACAGCTTATACGGCATGAACGTGAGTTTGGGAACTAATTTTTACTGTTTTTAAAATTCTTTTATTTCGTTTCCTCTAACTTTGTTCCTAGGTACTTCATCAGTTTCCTTCTCCAGTTCCAGTTTCACGATGCTTTGTGCAAAGCGGCGGGTCATGATGGTCCGCTACACCGATGTGATATATACAGATCTAGAGAAGCAGGGACACTGCTCTCGTAAGTTCCAAAGGAATTCTAGTTATTGTAATATCACAAAAGTCTAGTTCTTAAGGCAGGATCCATGCAGGATTCTGTTAAAGTGAGGGTGGGGTGGCACAGTTTTTAATTAAAATAACAAGAAAGAAAAAAAGTATATAATACCTTTTTATGCTATTTGTAATATCTCGAAAATATACAAGAACCCAGAACTTAGGTTCCCATGTATTTAACCCTTTGATTAGTAGGGGACACGAGAACAATTAGGAGCACATTTTTCATTTAAGTACGTAACACAATAGTCTTGATGGTTTTCTATACAGAAACATGTTAAGTAAAGGTTCAAGCCAGCCATGGGATGAGGCACTAGAAGCAGTCACAGGAACCAAGGAGATTAACGCGACAGCATTGATGACTTACTTTCAACCTTTGATTGAATACCTGAGTCAGGAGAATCTAAAGAATGGCGAAACCCTAGGCTGGCCGGAGATGTACACTCCTCTCGGTAAGAAACAAACTTTTGCAAATCACCAAAATAAACCCGACCCATAGATGAATTTAAAGAGAAGGTTGAGTTCGGGTAAAGACTGAAAATAATATCTGAGCTTTTCTCATTCTTTAATCATCAATTAGAAGAATATTATTATAGTGCTGTCCTTTCCCCTAAAAAAGTTACCTTTCACTTGCCATTATAATCGAAAAATGAAACGTTCGAACCAAACTTTGCTTGTGTATAGTCCTGTATACCCATTTCTGTGTCCATTAGGTGTGATTTGTTAGCGTGTCTGAGTCAATATCTTTTAATTTTGATCATTACAACAATATGCGTGTAGAATGTAAGCACACGACAGATATTCAACTTAATCAGTATCATATTCATAGAGCCTTTATACCCCCACCACTAATCAACAGTGTCTTTGATCTCTAAACATGTGTCTCCTTATATTCTAATCTAAGTTGTATGACACATGCTCCTGCGACAACGGTCTATTTCAAACACGAAGTGAATTCCTAACTTCAACTTTAGATCAAACACTATACCTAACCCTAACCCTTACCATAAACTAATTATCTAACTAACTAACCTATTTACCCTTATCTGAAATGAAGCCCGGAGTAATTGTCGCCAAAGTAATTTTAGGAGCACTCCTTATTTAAAGTTAAATGATCGATGCTACCCAATGGGTTCGGGTTTGATTGCCATATCCCAAGTTTTAATTTGTCTCGGAGAGTATGCAGATTGCTTTTAAATATTTAGCAGGCCTAACCCAAGGTAATTTTTTTACAATAAATAATAATAATAATAATAATAATAAACAAATTAACCAAATCCAAACTAGGCTTGCTACGATTTAACAATAAACAAGAACTTGCAGTCATGATACAAGTACGAATATAATTTCTCATCTTTTTGGATGATTCAATGTATGGATAATGACTTATTTTCTTTATCTTTAAACAGACCCTTCTGTTGGAGTTGGAACCATGTTCTCACCTACATTCATACTAGTACTTTTACCAGCAGCTCTATGGATACTACTTCACTACTGATACTGTAACTGGATTTCTTTCTAATGTCTCGTTGGTTGTCGATAATTTCATACAGATTGCGTTTATGTGTTGCAATAGACACAAAAAACCTCACAATAGCCTATAAGATGGTTGTTGTTGGTAGTAGTTTAATGGCGTTCATTCAGTATTGATTATAAACGCCATATCTTCAGTTTTATAAGAAAATCAGTTATACATAAGAAAACTGAGAATATTAAGATGTGTAATGATATAATAGTAACGCAATTTATTAGGAGTCTCTGGATGGTTTGCAACTTCGTGTTTCTGTTTTTTTATAAGTTTAATCTGGTCAGCCCGGTTTCGATTGCATGGAAAACTAGCTTTGCCCGATTTGAAACAGGCTTCTCGGCTACTAGTACTCGACGTTCGTGCGCAGTGATCAAGAGTGTAGTTTTATATACATGTATATTAGATAGCTTAGACAGATACCGAGATGTGATTAGTCCAGAGCTCGTCACGTAATATCAATTGTGAGGATCCAAATTGTTATATTTTCCTGGCCGGTCACTTTTCAGTGTTACATGTATATTAACCAGCTGGTGAAATGAATATATTTTTAATCTATGCATGTCGCCCTCTTGAGGACTGTATGTCACCATTTACCAAATTAAACCATTACCGAGGGTCATTTTTTTTTCCATTTTTTTTCCCCCTTGAAATTATTTTTTTCACATTTTCTTTTTTCTTAAATGCTTTTTGGGGTAAGACATTTTTTTTTTTTCGAATTTTTTTTTTTCTCGCTTGAAATAATTTTTGCCTAATTTTTAAATTTTTTACAAGAATTTTTGTATAGGTTTTTTTCTTTAATTAACTTGAAATATTATTTTTCCATCAATTTTGTTTTTGCACTCCTTTTTCCTAAATTTTGATTGTCCCAGAAAAAAAAAAAAAAAATTTCGGGCCAAAAAAAATAAAAATCAAACAAAGTAAACAAAGAAAATATAATATAACCCTTCAGCGGTCCAAATAATGTTATATTACATCCCCTGCCAGTCAAAACTGTATAATATCCCAATTAAAATTAATATTCGAGAGATAATACGTTTTCCAAAGGGATATGCGTAAGAGGAGAAAAGGCATATCGTGGATTCCATATTGAAATACATGTACTAAATAGTACATGTATTTCAATATGGAATATGGAAAACGTATTATCTCTCGAATATTACGCAATCAATTATCATTTTACTTTAAAAGTAAAATGATAATTGATTGCGCTGTATTGTTCGTGCACTTTATTTAAAGATGTGAAATATTATATTTAAAGGTCTTGCAAATGGAATGTGTAATTGAAAGTTGTGAATCTGACGAGGTGCTGAATCAAAAGACAATCATTCGTGTTTCGTAATCGTCTAAAAGTGAGGTTGTTGTTTTATTGTAATTATAATACATTTACACAAATACATTTGAATATCAGTGATTCATTTCTTAAGAACTTAATTAAACATTCATTTCCCCATCTAAAATCACAATTATGCCAATGTACTTATAATTATTTCTAAGAATACATTTTTTTCTATTGAAACACATGGGATCATGTTTAATGTAAAGTTTCCTTCATTCAACTACAACATTGTTCTAATTGTGATAATTAATTCCACCGCATATAGGGTGAAACTATATGTACATGTACATGCTATATTCCGAATAGAGAGTATGTGTCTATTTACATAACTAAACAAGACTAATAACATGTAATCCCAATGTTTAGTTCACAATTAAAAACACACAGATGTATTCGAATTCACGTACCCAAACCCAAACGGATGGTGCAAACCTTTGACTATTAAACTATTTAGCTATTTTACTATCGACTATTGAACCGATATATCTTCGTCCTTTTACCGTACATTTATGGGGACATTTGATAATTTGTTGTTACATATTCTGTATAATTATCTACGATTTATTGATACAGTAGAAGTTTCACCTCGGTACATGCACTATCGCCTTTTTTATCGGTTCACCCCTTCTTTGGAAAGCAGGTGTGTTTTGTGACCTGTCACGTCAAAATAAGAGAGAAGACGCCGAAAATCCGTTCTAATTTTATACCATAATACCATTCTGATGTGGCGGGCCATGGCCGAGAGTATGTTGAGTGTTAAAAATATAATTGCACTTTGCTAGAATATTCTCGCAAGTATAAAGAACAGGCAGAGGAAGATCGCTGCTGTTGAAGGCTGAACGGTTACTCCAAAGTTTGGATCTGCAAAACGAACACAATATGAAGAGGAATATGTATACATTTCTTGGAATCACTCAACTGGCTTGCTTAATTTGAAAGAGTGACATACACACAATTATAAATTAGTCTATTTCATAGAACAGTGGAATGTAAATTTATATACTTAACCTAACATGTAAGTTCCCCGGTACTTTTGTTGAACTTAACTCGAAAAATGTTAGGTGAAATTCGCTCATTTTAATAGTAACCAAAGTATGCAGAGTTTTCTTACCCGCACTTTTATTGATAAAGTGAAATGCGTTATAAAAGAACGAACTATTATTATTATTATTATTATTATGTTTTCATAAGAATTCATGATTATCACAAGGTCTACGAAACAAACATTTTGAAGATTAAGTTAACTGGTCACTTCCCTTTCTACGTCAACTCACAAGACGTTTACATTTGATTTTTACAATTAATAATAGCTACATTTATATTGCGCATCTATCAATTCTAGGAGATGCTCATGGTGCCTACAAATTTCAAACTTTAGTCTAGCTGCCTAAAGGCGCTGAAGGCACTGCAGGTATCAATTTATTGCACTTGGGTGGAGAGTGGCAAATTTAGATTAATGTCTTGCCAAAGAACATTAATGCCGATGCTGAACCTTATCATTATACACAACACCTATACTAACCTGCGGGTGTGTAAGATTCCGGCCAACCGGGGACGTCACCATTTCGTTCATTCTCAGCCTCGAGATAGGTTATCAGGGGCTGGAAGTAGGAGATTAGAGCCGTAGCGTTCATGGTTCGAGACCCCGTGATGGCTTCCATGGCATTAGGCCAAGTCTCACTGGAACCCTTTTTGAGCATGTTTCTGAAATCAAGAAAACACATTTATTGCTTTATTTGTTTCAGGAAACAGAGAATGACAGAATTTTTATTTTGGACCTATATTGGAAGGCTGTATACAAATATCCTTTTACTTGTACTGCAGACTGACATAAACGGATAGTCACTCATGCAATTAATGACAATTTATTTTGTTTTGTTGTTTTTGTTGGCTGCTTTCAGTTTTTTATCAACAACATTGCTCGACTGATTTACTGTATTCTCACTGTACCTCGAAGGATTGTGCCAATACTGTTCAGAAACATGCAATAGTTATAAAGAAAACTAAAACACGATGACCATCAAGGCAGTACTGTCATTATAAACAAAACAATTTCCTATACAAAATCATTGTCTTACAGACTCTCAAAAGCCTCTCGATTCACCATATCTTTTGGTTACCACGGCGGGTGAAGATCAGAGGAGATACATGAACATGAAGGGTTGAGATGACCGAAATCTGGGCCCTATTTCACAACACTAATTGTCATCAGTGTCAAATGACAGTTTTTGTTATAAGCTACTGAAATCTTGGTTAACAGCAGATGTGTCACTGATTTTTGTCATTTGTCATTGAAAAATAGGGTTTTGTGAAACGGGTCCCTGGATTGCACTTACGACAGTAGGGTTCCAGCTTCGGTTGATCGGTAGATATCACACTTATGAAGAGGACCCGTTTGTCCTGCAGCTTTACATAAAGCATCGTGGAACTGGAACTGTATGACAAAACTGATGAAATACCTGCAGAGAATGGAACAAATCATAAAGAATTAAAACTATCCTACTCAATCGTCAAGTCCCCAACATACAAAAATCTTCTGTGTGCCCATGCCTTGAGCCAAAATGCATGGCCGTACAGAGGATTTGTTTATGTTGGGGACCGGGGTAAAGTGCAATGAATTATTGAAAATTTATTGCATTTTCCTTTTCTTTTATTATTTGTAGGAACTGCCCCCTACCCTAGCCCCCCGCTGCGTACAGTCATGGTTCAGTGGCAAAGCAATGGCCTCGTAACTTTGAGGCCCCAGGATCAAAACCGTGTCGATGTGCTATATTAGTGCCCTTTTGTGGGGCATTCATCCATATTTCTGTCATTTATGATTAGTTGATAAGCATATACACATACTTTAGCAGTCACGCAAAACAAACACTGGCCAATTATCATTCAATAAAATCTGAGGATGTATACTATATTATCTAGATCTATTAGGAATAAATCATTGTAAAAATAATTCCATAAATTGGGGTAAAAAAAAAATATTCCAACGTTATGAGCAACAGTGTACACAGTCAAATATCTTGTGTCTAAAGACTGTTAATAAAAGTACATTGGAAAGAAAGCACGGTTGGAATATTTCTTCAACGCATCTTTTCACCAGAAGAGCAGATGACTTTTTACTGGTAAGCTTCACATCGAAATATCCCATTTCATCTAATACAATTCCTGTGAGTTGAATGCAAACGTCTGCACCCAGAGTCTGTCAAGATTGTGTTTCAAGGATGTAGTCTGGAAAATACACATTTTTATCGTTGTAAAGTGCTGGAGAAACCGGGCTGCCGACTTGGGTTCGGACCCTGTATGGACACTAATACAACCACTGAGCAATAATGTGCCTCCTGGTAAAGCCGGGACCCCAAATATATTCTGTGGAGGAGGTTAGGACGGGGAGGGTGGAGTAGATATGGTTGCAACTCTATACGATCCGTCTTGTTAAAATACATCAGTGCCGCTCAAGGGATTTGAACACCGTGCCATGTACTTCATAGTCTAGTGACGTATCCACTAGACCACGGCACCTCCATGAGTTCAGGCTTACCTGATGTAAGGCACATCGGCCGGGATGTGGAACTTGGCTGCAGGGTCAAAATCTTCTTCTGTGCGAGTAACAGGTGGGATGATACCCTGGTACTGCAGTCTGTTGGAGAACACAATAATACAGTAGCTGCATCTGAAACTACTACCTCTAAAGTATTGTATCCGTATTCCTAAGATAAAAATCGCCGTTTCTTTTATTTCCACGATTGTCACTTTAATTATCAGTCAATGCAATAATATTGGTTCTTCTTCTTTTTCACCATCATCTTCTTCTTCTAGTTCTACTACTTCTTCTTCTTCTTCTTCTTCTTCTTCTATTCTTCTTCTTCTTCTTCTTCTTCTCCTTCTCCTTCTTCTTCTACTTCTTCTTCTCCTTCTTCTTCTTCTTCTATTTCTTCTTCTTCTTCTTCTTCTTCTTCTTCATCTTCTTCTTCTTCTATTTCTTCTTCTTCTTCTTCTTCTTCATCTTCTTCTATTTCTTCTTCTTCTTCTTTTATTTCTTCTTCTTCTTCTTCTTCTTCTTCTTCTTCTATTTCTTCTTCTTCTACAACAACAACAGTAGCAGCAGCGGCGGCGACAACAACGACAACAACAACACCAACAACAACAAATATTACTACTACTACTACTACTACTACTACTACTACTACAACTACTTATACTATTTTTACAACTACCGCCACTACTACTACTACTTCAACTACTGCCACTACTACTACTACTACTACTACTACTACTACAACTTCTAATAATAATAATAATACAAATACTTCAACCAATGCTACATATACTCTTACCTAAGTTTCCACCAGTCTTCAGTATACTTGGATTCTGGGGTCGTCCCATCAAAGATTCGCCATCTATACTGATCCATCAGGTAACCGAATGGCAGGAAGGAAATCTTGTCCAACGCCATGCTCATCAGGAAGTTCAGATCAGCCTCTTTAGTTGGTGAGCATGATGTTAGATAAAAAAATGAAATGAAAGGTCATTACAAATACTTAAATGTTTAGATATTAAAAAGGGACAATTTGTCAGTAATAAGTATTCATTATGTTCAGAATCGGAACTTCGTATTATGAAATACTACTTTTACAGAATAGAAACATAACATTGTAATGGTATTTCTTTTAAGAAAAAGAAAGTAGCATATAAGAGCTATTCTATGCATACAAATCGTTATGGTCTAATGAATAACATTGTTTCAAAACATTTTCAAAGTATAAGTGAAATGTCCATTATATGCCATGAGGATCGAGACTCCTCCCTTTTTTTAGGGGGGGGGGGGGGAGGGAGCAGTTGCCAATGATAATGTCTGAATGAAATGTGTAGGCCTATCGAGTCGGACAATCTAACTACGATTAAAATCATCTTTCCTTGTTTCAAATGTATCGATAATCCTATTATTCAATTGACATAACGCAATCGCTTAATGGTACACATATATCTTTCACAAATATAGACAGTACTGAAAACTTGTATAATATGAACACAAAGGCACAGGTGAAACATGTTGGTTGGATGAGTATACAACATAGATTCACATGACTGCTATATCAATGTTTACAAGACGTTTACTAATGGGGAAGGAAAAAATGTAGTTCATTTTTTCAAAGTGGAAAATACTAATATTGAAGAAGAACACACCAAAAAGAAAAGGAACAGAATCAGGAAATGGGAATAAGAAGGTACTTTCGTTGTAAGCTGACAATGGCGTAATTGACAGGCCTTTTATAACGGCACAGTTTTTTGAAAAACCCAATGGCTCTATCTTGTCATGATTGGATAATGTAATTGACTAGACTCCCAATGAATACGGTGGAAATGAACTGGATGTCAGACGAATAGTTTGAACAGGGTAATATGAAGCGCGCAAGAACGCACTTAATATATTGTATTTTTTTTTTTTTACAAGAGCAACAGGTTGAATCGCTTTGCGAGTCGGCAAAAACAATCCTATAGGGCTTGCAGACGAATTTTATTTTAGCTATACTGATTTCATATTTCAGCCAATGGGACCTTCACCTTTTTTTGACAAATTGGGAGTACTGCAGGTCGAGATTGTTAGCATGGCCTTAACAAAAATACATGTCAACTTATCCAAATATCACTTTGGTCCTATTAAAGTTTCAGATTAGGAGAGGGGGAAATAGAAATATACGGCTATACCCTCGTCGTTCGAAACTTCATTCAAAAGACCGATGGAGTGAAGATGCTTCGGTGTCGAGACCGAAAGAGAGAGAACGTCGCCAACGGCCTCGTGAAATCCAGGGTTGGCACCTCGTCTGTATGGCACTGGGAGGTCTTTGTACTGCATATAATACTCGACGTGCCCCATCTCATGGTGGATTGTGATGAAGTCGGTCTGAGTGATATCTGTACATTGCTTGATTCTATGAAAAACCAATCGCGTTTTACTTTAAATTGCAAGTTCTTCACGATCATGGAGAGGGTTTGTTGCAGACAGGGGCGGACTGGCAATAGGGTTTTGCTTGCCTTGACAGGTCCATTTGTGGTATGAGGGCTGGTTGATCAATATCTTTACTTTGCGTGGGCCGGTCGCTCCAAAATTCCGCAATCAAAAACCAAGTCCGCTCCTGGTTGCAAAGGTTAGGAGTGTTAGTTGGTGAGGAGTTAATTAAGCTATTTTTTCCTTTTTCTTGTTTTATTGCAACCAAAATAACAACATACAAACAAAACATCAAAAAACACATGGGGGATTAATCAAGCTTGGTCTTGGGGTAGGTTGCAGAGTTGTAAGTAGTTTGTAAGTAGCTTTACGCTTTGCGCTAGGTTAGTCATGCATGTTAGTAAATGATGACCATCAGTAACTGAGGTATGATAAGCTGTCTTTATCTATTTCATCTTTATCACTTTTTTTATCACGTTATTTCGTCATTATGAGAGAAACCTATAGCCCTACATAGAGGTAGATCCTAAATGTGTTTTTTTTAACTACATGTTATTAAACAAGGAGGCATATTTTTATTCTATATGTATACGTAAGGTATGCTTAATTGCCGTACATCTCCCTCTAGAAAATTAGAAACTAAAAGGGTACTTTATAATTCGTCAAAATCGGTAGACAGCTTATCATATTTCAATTAACATAATTTTGGACATGAATTGAATGCAGAACGCGAGATATAATGTCACTATACCGTCATCATCCACAACTTCATCCAGGAGACCGACATCGTATAGATGGGCCGGCGTAGAGACCGAAAGGGCGAGGACATCGCCCACGGCCTCGTGAAATCCAGGGTTTGCACCACCTCTGTAAGCTACGGGTTGGTCCTTATACTGAAGATCGTACTCGATGTGTCCCATCTCGTGATGAATCGTGATAAAATCGTCCATTGTGATATCAGTACATTGCTTTATTCTAAAGAAATCCAAATGGGAGTTTTTATCCATTTTCATGTCCTCTCAATCGTATAATTGTTGAAAGGGTGAAAGTGTTTGCGGTGTTTGAATGATGAGGTTAATGTTTGGATTAGGTTGCAGAGCTTCGGGCGGTGATACGCTTTGTGCATGAAGAAGTTACAGAGGATGATAATTTATTCACACTGATGATAAGCTGTCTTTCAAATATTCATTTAAATTAGCATACTTTTTTTGAAATAGTCGTTTAATTTTAAATGACAATTAGATAACATCATGTGACTATCGATCGTCGATTCTTTTTAAAAAAAAATAGAAATGTGCTGTATGAATGTCAATTGGAGAGAGAAATATGTCCTTCAAGATTACACGAGAGATCTCTTAGTGTTTGATTGTTCATTCTTTATTGTCTTTGTTTCAAAATGGGCTTGGTAATCTTATATATCAATTGCTTGCTCCTGTCGCTGAGGAAGTCTGATGCTAATATTTTACTCGGCGGAGGATAAAGTAATTTAATTTTCTTTAAATCATGAAAGACAGCTAATCATGTAACAGTCGATTGAATATTGGATGTCGAGTAAAATAGGATGTCGAGTAAAATAGGATGTCGAGTAAAATAGGATGTCGAGCAAAATTGGGTGTCGAGTAAAATAGGATGTCGAGTAAAATTGGATGTCAAGTAAAATTGGATGTCGAGTGAAGAGTGGATTGGAAATGACTGCAGAATCTTTTAAATATACCCTCATCGTCATCAACTTCATCTAAGAGACCAACAGCATATAGATGGGCCGGCGTAGAGACCGAAAGAGCGAGAACATCGCCCACGGCCTCGTGAAATCCAGGGTTGGCACCTCGTCTGTATTTCACAGGTTGATCCTTGTACTGCAGGTAATACTGGATGTGCCCCATCTCATGGTGAATTGTGATAAAGTCGTCCATTGTTTTGTCGGTACATTGCTTTATTCTAAGGAATATGAAGTCGCGAGTTTTCAATCATTTTATCATGACCTCACCCGCTGTTAGGGTATGATGTAAGGCAGAGGGATGAGTTTGTGATATATTACAGCAATATTTTTTGTTTTGGGAGGAGAGGGTTTTGCAATTTTCGCAGATTTTGTGAGATGAATTTTATGACCATGAGAAACGTAAACGGGATAAACTTTTTTTTACCTCATTTTGCTCGCTTTTATTTTCATTTTTATCGTTGGTTAATCGTTTCGAAAACAATTAAACGATAGCTGTACAATATTTATAATGCACCTGTTATCATTTCTTTTTTCTGGGAAACTCAATATAAGTGAACTATCAACATGTTCAGGTAAGACGCTTTCGTTATCCTCATCACCATTTTGTTTACGCCACTTGAATTGCAAACTACATTCATCTAAACGTTATATCTTTTTAGATTGAACAGCTGAATTGGCAATACAGTTTATCACGTTTACAGCTGAAAGGGAGGCTGAAGATGAGGTGAATACATGACGATTCAGACAGAATAATATACCGTCATCATCGTCAATGTCATCCAGGAGACCAATTTCATAGAGATGGGCCGGCGTAGAGACCGAAAGAGCGAGAACATCGCCCACTGCCTCGTGAAATCCAGGATTGGCGCCATCACGGTAGGAAACCGGTTGGTCTTTGTATTGTAGGTAATACTCGACGTGCCCCATCTCATGGTGAACGGTTATGAAGTCATCCATCGTTATATCAGTACATTGTTTGATTCTGGGTTTGGGGTGAGACGGTGTGCAATGAGAGAGGGAAAAGGAGGAATTTGGGGCAGGACGGTGTGGATAAACGGGTTCAATAAAACATCGAGGATATCAACCTACACTAAAATACGGAACCAACAAAATATGGTATGGATTTGATACAGTTTTGCAATTATGCAAACCAAATACAAAGAATACAAGAATAGTGATCAAAGACAATCATGTCAATCTGATTAAAGGGATAGTTGAGATTGGGTATAGAGGGTGCTGCTCAAAATAATTTGTTTGTCAGATAATGAAAAACTTAGTGTCAAATTTGAAAGAGCATACAATTTAGATGATAGAATCATTTTTGTTTTCTTCAAGGGTAGCCTCATCAGAATATGTATAGGTTCAATCATCCATTTACAATAATGATTGGATGGTAATTATAACTATCTTTAATTCTTGCCAAAATTTACCATGACCATCAGGTAGTATACAACTAAAATACAACGGATGATCTTGTCAAGATCATCTTGACACATCAGTAAATTTTCCACTGACTCTCAATTTCTGATATTAATAAGAAAATCATTTATCAGAAAGCCCAGGAATTAGTATAGTATTAATGACTGCTTAAAGCAGTCATTAATACTTTTATATGCCGAAAAAATTATGACACCACCTTGGCCTTTCTCTTGTTTATCTGCACGGTTGTTTTTTATGAGTGTTTCTTTGAGAGTAGACTAGATCTAGATTCTAGTCTAAGCAAGATATTTTTTACAATTTTAGGGGTGGGCCGGCCCTGTGGGGAATATGGAGAAAAACCTGCGCTTTCATATGACACCTCACTTATTGAGTATCACCTTCAGGATCACGAGCAATATTAGTTTGAATCTCTGGTAATTAAAACATCGACCAATCTATCATGATCGAGTGCGCAATGGCCAATGGAAATGCATAGCGATGTGTGTAATCTCTACGGGAAGGATCTGCATCTGTCCGTGTGACGTACAAATCACTACAATCACCAGCATCTGGTTGTCGCGTACTAGAATCTAGATCTAGACCTACTGAAAAAAAATGATGGAAGATTTCACGTACCCTTTTTGGTGTTCTTGCTGTCAGCATGTCTAGCATTTGATCCTCATCCAGAAGTTGAAATCTTGGGAGAGTTTCTACAGCCATTTTTACCTTGTTTGAATCGAGATATATTGCCGTACTAAAAATGCCGACCAATTCTTCGCACACGTACGGTATCCGCGATCGCTCAAACCATTTGTTAACATGGGTAACCATGGTTACTGGGATTTTAGAACTATTTTTTGGAATTATTTTCCCGGTAACAATGGTAAATGGGATTTTAGAACTATTTTTTGAACTATTACATGGGTTTGGAATTTTACCAGGAATTTTACAGGAATAGTTAAAGTTTATGAATGCAATTTCGACCAATCAGATAGCTGGATTTGTTAAGTGAGGTATATAATGGTAACGCCTCGGCACGCCTCGGGGCAATAGCACAATTCTAACCTTCCCTTGAGCGTATAAAAACAACTATTTCTCTCAAAGCAGTCTCGGATAAACACAGGCAAGACACCATTCAGGAAACATTTTAAAAACATAAAAGGAATTGCAAGGTTTGGAATTAAGTAGCACTCAACCACGAAAACAGTTAACAAAGACACAACGCGTTTGTTTCCATTATTGCATTCTAAAGGTGCTATCGATACAAGGATATATATATATATATATTCATATATCGTAAACTCGAAATTTAAAGTTCTGAAGTATAAACAAAAATGCCATCATGCAAACAAATCGCAAGAAAAATAATAAAGTCAAGACATATCTTGCAACATGTCACTCCAACCTTGTAACAAATAAATAACATGAAACAGAGTCGGACAACCATTTGGTGCAACACCAGACATCACCGACCTAAATCATCTACCGCCTCTTCCAGAAGACCAATTGATTTGAGATGAGAAGGCGTGGTTACGGAGAGAGCAATAACATCCCCTACGGCTTCGTGAAACCCGGGGTTGGCGCCATTACGCAACAAGAGAGGTTGGTTCTTGAACTGGAGGAAATATTGTACGTGGCCCATCTCGTGATGAACGACGATGAAGTCCTCCATGACCACCTGCGTACACTGGCTTACTCTGGGAGAGGGGGAGGAGGGGGTAAGGAGTAGGGTGGGTGGGGCGCCAGGGGATGGGGTGGTATAGTTGTGTCGGGATGGTGTGGTTGGAGTGTGATATTATTAGAATGGAGTAAAAATGAATTAGCTTATCTAAAAGGTTAGTTGCTATGTATTTGATCTCATGCTATGATTTTTAGAATATAATATCAATCACTAGAATCAATACACAATAAACTGTATAAATGTTTTTCATTTTCCTTTGGCTCTTAAAATTCATTTATAAAAAGAATATAAGTGTTGTTTTTACTATAACTGAATAAATCAAGGACAACATTATATTACAATGTTAACATAGTCCAGACTACTGACCCATCAAAAATTCTAAACACCTGTTTGGTAATCTGTACAGTTAAATGTAGTTATATATGTTAATTCTGAAAACAACGTTTAGCGAGTGAGAGGGGAATGTATCCTTCTTATACATGTACATGCACATTTAATGCTTCATAAAGTTGATTGTTATGGAGTTCCAATCATGGACAATTGGAGAAGTTTCATTCTTTCATCGAGAAACATTCTGTCCACTGGAGAATCGGGTTACCTGAAATCCTTTTGGTTGTAGAAGTCCCAAGCTGAAGCATGGCACACGACTTCACGACCATCATTGGGTTTTTCGAGCATAGACTCGTTCCAGAACTCTTCAGGCATGGCGATCAGTCCGAGTGAAGTGAAAAACTCATCCGATACTTCAAACATTCTCAGCGGAGTGTAACCCTGTTAAAGAGGTCATAATATCAAACAAAAAGCAAATACCTTAGATCCTATTTTTTTTTAAATTGCATATGAATATTATCTTATGTTATCATAAGTTTATAAATTCAAGACCTTGCAACTTATCTTTTCTCATGTTACATGAGTACATGACTGTTAATTTATGTTCGATTTGTTCTTACAATTCCTGTTAGAATTTCAAAATACATGAAAACAATCATCAAAATAATTTGTAAATTCCTACAATGAATAATGAAATTGGAAATTCAAAGATCATATTAAACTGTTTGAAAAGTACATTGGGATCAGGAAATTGATGCATTCACAATTCGTATGCACAAACTTATGTTGCAGCACTGTATCCATTAATTTTACTTCAATCTGCCTTTCATCGTAATTTCATTGAGAATTGTCAAGACATGAAGCTGTATAATTAAAAAAATAACCAAAGCTGTGGTTGTAGGAAGAAATCATAAGAACAAACTTGTGACAATCTTGTGAGAGGAACATGTGTAGGGGTCATACAAATCTTCTTTATAAATATATTGCCCTACCCATCTCTCTTTCTACCTCTCTCTCTCTCTCTCTCTCTCTCTCTCTCTATTTTTCCCTCTTTATCTTCATTAGTGTCTTTCTTCGCCCTTCCAGAGGTGGGGGGGGGGGGGGACATACCCCATCGTCTCTAGGATATATTACCTTTTCAATGAGGACTGGAGTGATATCCACGCTGGGTTTATTGGGGTAGGGTATGCAGAGATCTAGCAACTGAAGCCAAGACTGAGCCCACATGTTACCTGTATATGTATGATGCTAAATGATTATAGAGCGCCGGAAATATAAAAAACTATAGAATACCTTCAGTATTTTGTTTTCTTAGTCTTCTTCCTCTTTTACTTTTGCTTTGTTTACTTGTGTGTAAAACTTGTGAGAACGTTTTGGGAATTGTTCCCCCTTCCCGTTTCAAAGAGTCCTGGATCCACGCTGGGTATCGGTACATTCATCCATCCAGTGCAGCAGAACATTAAAACAAATTGCAATACAATTTCTCTAGACCATACTGCCTTGTGTGACCTCTACACTGGTTGGATGTTTAAAGGGCAAGTCTGCCCCATTTTGTAAGTTGAATTTAATAAATAGAGACAAATAAAACAAACAGTTATGAAATGTTAAGCTTTCACATAGTTTCACGAAACGATGATTTGTATCAAATAGGCTTTATACAAATTAGCAAGTTAATGGTGTCATCCCGCACTTTTTCCCATAGTTAAAAAAAAAATGAAATTTCAAGTTTTTCCTCTGATTTGTTCTTGGATTCACCTGTATATATATTTTTCCTTTATATTGCAGTAAATTATAGAAATGGTAATTTGGCGCATATTCCATGAGGATTCTAGCTATGTTTTACATTCCTAGAGCAGAAAAGCGGATACTTTTGTCAAATGTATGTACAGAACTGACAAAGAAAAGTGAGGGGATGAAATCATCTAATCGCAAATTGTCATTCCATTACTTTCTTATTCTCCATCTGATTTTGATAAGACTTTCACTGTTTCCTTCCCCTCTATTTATCCAATCCAACTTGCGGATGGGCCAGACTTACCCTTTATAGATGATATCAGTCAAATCAATGGCAGGGTTAGAAGCATCAGTTTTACAATCGGGGTCGTTGGTACTATTTTTAATAGGTCGAAACAAATGTTATTATAATTATGATTGGATCATTAAGCAAAGTTATGGCGTTGTGGTGTTATAGCGACCCCATCTCAAGATTTGTGCTTGTAGGAAATCTTGCCGCCTACCTCCACGAAAGAAAATGAATAAGGTAAATTTTATTTTTGTGTTCATAATATGATTATAAGAACAAATCTAATGTGTTTTTAATGTTGATTCTAGACTTACCAAAGATATGAGCAGGAATGGGTCCCCGTAGGTTAATGTAGTCTCCGCCATAGACCTCGTATAGCTTCCTACGTACGTATGCGTGTAGGTTATTGTACAGAGGTGAGAGCTGGGTGTATAGCTCTTCAGTCATTTCTTCCAAGTTATCCACCTCATACCAAGAACGCCAATAGGCGCCATTGTCTGGTTGATCTACAAAAAAGTAAGCAACACAAATTTAAAAAATGTTAACATCTAACCAATATACTTCATTCAATATTATCTTTATACTTATATTAAAGAGGAGTAGAACAACATGTAGAAATTGTGTGGTCTAGTGGATAATTGCAATCTATGGATTACAAGGTACGGGGTTCAAACTCCTATTACAGTAGTTTCGTCCTTTGACAAGGAATAAATCTACATCTGTAAAAAAAAAAAAAAAATATATATATATATATATATATATATTGGATAAGGCAGACTAATGGAGCATGGTTGCAACTCCGAGTTTCACGCCTTGCGAGCGATCATCAGGCAACTGATAGCATGATTACTCTACAATCTACAATACGTTCAAAATAAGGAATACAATACAATACAAAACAATAAGATTTACTCTTCTTCATGATACCGAAAGATGACAACAACGACGATAGCGAGGAAAACGCTACACAAGTCCCGAATGAAGAGAAGTACGGATTCAAAAGCAGAAAATGCCCCCCACAAATCGAAGAACTGAAGCCGTTCGAAGACGACATGCTACAATTGATCGAAAACATACGATTCGGGAAAACTCCGGACAGCTTCCAAGCCAAGTTGAAAGCAGACATCCAAAAGATCAAGAGCTCGAAAAAGATGCTCATCCCCGCCGACAAAACAAGAAACCTCTACGAGGTCGACCGCGCTCTCCATGACAAGCTACTACGGGAGAACATCACCAAGAGCTACCGAACCGCCACCATGGCAACCGTTGATGACATCAACGCCGAGGCGCAAGCAATAGCGTCAGAACTCAAAATCGACAACCGAATGGAGACTATGGCAAAGAAGCAAGCATTCATAACATTAAAAGACCACAAGGACAACTTCGAGAACAACCTGCCCTGCCGACTTATCAACCCGGCTAAGAGTGAAACAGGCATTATAGGCAAAATCACCCTAGAGAAGATTAACAACGCAGTAAGATCAGCGACAGGAGTAAACCAGTGGAGGAGCTCAATGGCTGTGGTAGACTGGTTTAAAAGCATCAAAGAAAAGGACAAGCACACCTTCATAAGCTTCGACATAGTTGACTTCTACTCGTCCATATCGGAAAGCTTGCTAAAGAAATCATTGGACTTTGCCAAGGAATACACACACGTCACTAGACGAGATATCGAGGTCATTATGCACTCGAGGAAATCTCTGCTGTTCGACAAAGGCAAACCATGGAGGAAGAAGGATAGCAACGGCCTCTTCGACGTCACTATGGGCAGTTTTGACGGAGCTGAGATATGTGAGTTGGTCGGCTTATACATCCTAAGTATCCTATCGAAGGACTATGGCAAAGATGGAATCGGGCTTTACAGAGACGATGGGCTAGCAGTCTTCAAGAGCATCTCCGGAAGCAGAGCCGATCGAATTAGGAAAAGCATAACGAGAACATTCCAAAAACTTGGCCTAAACATCACAATCGTTTGCAACCTAAAAATCACCAACTTCCTCGACATCACCTTCAACCTGAGTGATGGCAAGTACTACCCTTACAGGAAGCCGAATGACTGCCCAATGTACATCCACAAGCTATCCAACCACCCACCATCCATCATCAAGAATCTCCCAGCATCAATAAGCCGCCGAATAGCAGACATCTCATGCGATGAAGAGACTTTCAACGAAGCTTCCCCTGCCTACAACGATGCCCTAAAAGCCAGTGAATTTGCTGAAACCCTCACCTACACGAAGGAGCGCCCGACAAGGAGAAAGCAAAACCGGAAACGAAACATCATCTGGTTCAACCCTCCATTCAGCAAAAACGTCGCAACCAACATCGGCAGATCGTCCCTGAGGCTTGTTGATAAGCACTTCCCAAAGAAATCAAAATTCAACAAGATATTCAACAGGAACACGCTTAAAGTCAGCTACAGCTGCATGCCGAATGTCGCCAGCATCATCAAGGCGCACAACAAGCAGGTTTCATCCACGGACGACCACACCAAGCCGAAAACCTGCAATTGCCGGAAAAAGAATGTGTGCCCCCTACAAGGAAACTGCCAGGCCGGCAGTATCATCTACAGTGCAAAAGTCTCCGGCCCAGAAAGCCCTAAGCAATATATTGGACTCACCGAGCCCCCGTTCAAGCTGAGGTACGGCAACCATCTACAGTCCTTCCGACATGAGAAGCACAAAAACAGCACAGAACTCTCTAAACACATCTGGCAACTCAAACACCAAAGCACCCCATTCACCATCGAGTGGTCGATCTCCAGCAAGGCCCAGGCGTACTCCAGCGAAACGAAGAAATGCAACCTGTGCCTAACTGAGAAGCTTGCCATCATCAACGCCGAGAAACAGACACTCTTGAACAAAAGACCAGAACTCATCTCCAAATGCCGCCACGAAAACAAATTCTACCTCTGCAACTTCAAAAGAGACTATACTTAATTAAATATATATATATTTATGTACTAGCACCTTGGTGGAGACTATTTTGCGATACCCCCTCCCATGTTTAAAATTCCATCGCAGTACCTGAACAATCACAATAGCCCCTTCACCCATGAGTAAATCTTATTGTTTTGTATTGTATTGTATTCCTTATTTTGAACGTATTGTAGATTGTAGAGTAATCATGCTATCAGTTGCCTGATGATCGCTCGCAAGGCGTGAAACTCGGAGTTGCAACCATGCTCCATTAGTCTGCCTTATCCAATATATATTTTGCTCTGCCCATAAGCATTGAGCACTGTACGGAGGAATAGACCAAATCTAAGTATATATATATATATATATATTGTATGATTCAAATAGTCTGATTTTAAAAAGATATATGTTTAATTTGATATTTTACATGTACGTACAATGTTTAATTGTTGTATTATTATACGTGTGTTTTTATACTGTCATTGTATTATGCAGGGCTTTCTTGAAAAGCAGATCCACTGGCTTCCAGTGGAACTGAATGAAACTACCCTGTTGAAAGAAATCATGAATAAATGAATAAATAATAATCTGTCACACTCAACCCAGGTATATAGCAAATGGGTGCTGGGATACAGGCAAAAACTCCTTGAACGACTTAGCCCCTACCTTTTTAAAGGCTGTGGCCAGGGTAAAAATCCAAAGTTATTTGGAAGCACATTGTTTAAATATTATATGCGGTATTCAAGAACTGATTATTATTCTACTTTCTCATCATTCTCATTGAAAGCGACTTAAAGCTAAAGATGACGGAAGTACCGCAGGGCATTACTTTTGATTCAATAACAGCCTATACAATCGGAATCCACTCTACAATGACGTCATAACATGGAGTGTTTTGACTGAAGCAGACAGTCAATGAAACGTCTACATAATTTATATCCATGCACTGTGTCCATGGCTACTAGTGTATAGCCAGCGTAATTAAGATTTGAATGCATTATGCATTTCGTAGTTTGACCCTAAGTCAACAAATTCGAGACGAGTAAGGATATGCCTATGTCTAAGAAGTGTTTATAGTTGCGCCAAACCTTGAGGCTACTTTCCTAAATGGCCTTTACTTATCAAGAACGAAACTTTTTTTTTCTATAATACGTTTTTAATTACTATTCTGGTAGTGTTTTGTTTTATTTTTGTAAAAAGATTTTATTTGATAGAACATGTTTCAGGCTTTTTTTTATTTTAGTGGGTTAGTATTAAATATTATATTTTTGATCAATGGAATCCTCTTCAGTGATTGGTCAACATGAGCATCATGTGACCAAATATAACATTGCTATGATGTTACCGGTACGAAAAATGTTCTATACCGACGTCATCCATGGTATAGTGCACTGTACCATGGCACTTTACCAGGGATGACGTCATAGATATGGGATCGATCAAGATCAATGTGATATCGGTGTCGGCCCGGTCGCGGTACGGTCGTCTGCGCTGCTTTCACTGCACTCTAACTACTTCAGTGACAGTATACATTATTTTTATTATTATTATTATTCATGAAGGCTGGTTTGAAAAATATAAAGAAAATATAGCCTATCCTGCACCATTTCAAGCTACTAGTGAATTTATGGATTCCTCGTCGACAGAAATAGCACTATTTTCTTCTGGGCTACGCCCCTCAAAAAATAGTGCTATTCCTGCCACCTCGAATTTCAACTAGAGCCTCTCAGTGCATGGTACATATTTTGTTTGCTATACTCAGAATTCTGATCAGCTGTAAGATAATTGTTTTTCTTCGACTGAAGTTGGGTATTGATGAGAGGTTGGAACAATAGATCCCCAGGCGTGAAATGAGTCATTGTGTGTTTATTGTTTGATTATCATTTTCTATTGTCAATTATGTGAATACCACATGCCTTCTTTATATCTACAATGTATATGATAAGTTTCCTTGTATGATTAAACATGTTAATATCTCTTTATTGATAATAACATAACGCATATATCATCACGACCAGTGGCGTACGCAGGATTTTTTTCAAGGGGGGGGGGGGTTTAAAATTAAAAGGGGGGGTTTCCAAAAAAACATACATAAAACATACACATTAAAAAAACTCGAGGGGGGGGGGGGTTAACCCCAAAACCACCCCCTGCGTACGCGCCTGATCACGACCTATAGCTATATTATACGACTCAATGCAGGTGTCAATTGCTTTTAATGTTTGTTAATAAAGGATAAGGAGATAAAATCCTCGGAAATAGTAACAAATTTATTTCTTGGAACATTAATCAACGGTGTATTTTTTAAATAAATATTACCATTCACAACATTTGCTTTCCATCATAACCCTTAATAAGTTAAAAGGTGCCTCTGACGATCGATCAGCCTCCCATCTCTATAATCAAAATCACATGTCTGAACGTCACAATGCCTGAAGGTCATCTTTAAACAAATATATCGTATGAATTCTCCAGATTATCACAAATTAATGTCTACGTTCTGAATACTGATCTTTCTATAACGTATCGTGTACTTGGGAGGAGGGTGGGTGTGGGGGATTGTGGGTACGCGAGTGCGCGCGTGTGTCTGTGTGTGACTTACCGTTTGCTTGAGCGCCTATATTTTTCAGCTCGACGTATCGAGCGTAATCCTGACGGGCTGGAGCCCCGACCTCATCACGCCAGGCATCCCATGCCCAGTAAAGCTCCTGGTAGTCGCGTGACTCAGACATGATCCTAGTGAGATCTTTGAAGATAAAATTCAAATGAAAACAAGAGGAATTATTGTATGATAAACCCCACACCCCTATCTCTTTAATTGTAAGATTATGATTCACACCTTGATAATATTTTTTACAGTCAAACTCCTTTGCTGTTTATATTATGTGTTTTTTTAAAGCCTCCTGTGGTATTTATATACATTTGTTTTATTTGATATGTTGCACTTTCCAAGTTCTTTATTTTTAATGAATTCTTTCTGAAGGAAAATTTTAATCACTCCCCTGACATTGTGCTCTAACAACATTTGAAAGAAATGGTGAATTCTCTAGGGATATTTACTTTGCAATATAGTTGATTTTTACCCTATTTTACATCTAATATAAATCACGAAACAGGTCATTGTAATGTTTGCGAATTAAAAAAAAATCGATGGAGAGGGCTATCCAAATTGCCTAGACTTGATTTCTCGGAACACTTTGTGATCGTGTTAAAAGCTAACAGTTTTATCTTGACAGAATTGTATCTCGAAATCTCACCTGGTTCTAGAGAATAGCATGTGCCGTCCTCTTTGCAAGGCTTTCCTGTCGAGTAACGAGTCTCCATCTGCGCCAGTAGGTTAGTCAGCTGAACATAGAAGAACAACATGTAATCATAGCAAGAAGAACAATACAACGTCGATGACGTCCTTAACATTTCCAGGAAATCATAAAATGATCCCAAGGACTTTCAAGAGAGAAACTCAATCTCAACTTCAACACCCTATTGTATTACCCTTTGAAAGCATATTTAGATTATGAAATATATGTTAGCACATTTTACAGGAAAATAGACAGGGCTATTGACGTTGGCTAACGTTGATTTTTTTTTAGAGTCTTTGTGATTGCGTTGGAATTTTCCCCTCATAATTAAAGACAAAATTCAAACGACTTTCAGGACTATGTATTAAAAAAATCCTAAAATGAACTACATACTTTACCTCTACTAAATCTTCCTGGCGCTCTATAGCAGCGTCACCGATGTAAATAATTTTGTTCAGCAGACGTTTAGTGTTCTCCGAGAAACCTGTCTGGTTAAATTCTAGGGCCCGTGTTCTCATTCCATTCTCAAAGTTTGATGCGGCTAGACTAGCAGCTACCTGCGAATAAAAAAGATTAAGATTTCAAAGATATTCAGTTCCAACTATTATAAACCGTTAAGATTTATGATACTATTCTGCGAATCTTTATTTACCTACAGAAAAAACCAATATAGATCGCAAAAGTGTCTTGCATCCTTCCCTCGCATGATACAATTGTATAACCAAATAATGTATAAAATCTGTATACTATAGAGGTTGAGTATAGAATAGTAATGCGTCGCCCCCGCCCCGCTCATGACCATAAATCGCCGCGCTTAATTGTTTAGATTGTTTTTACAATCTTAAATAGTATTTTTCACAAATCTTCTTGAGATTATGATACATCTTAAATAATCTCCAAGAACTTCAAGCTTATTGACTGATTGCCTTTCAAAGAAACTATATGTTATATTAATACCGATTGTATTATGTCTTTTAATATGGGGGGGGGGTTACAACATTAACGTACCTTCTTTCGTCATGAACATTTCGTTTATTTATTTCAATTCATCGACCCTTTCAATCTACCTATGTGTATGCAGTTTAATGTCCAGATCTAAATGACTTTCTACAGTTTTCTTAACAGTAATATAATCTATTCCTTTATCCATCCATATGTCAACATTTACGTAGGATGAAGTTATCTCTGTATTGATAATTATTTGTCTAATTCTTTCACTGATCCATGATTTAGAGAAGATGTGTATTCCGATCAGACGCATTTCCTTCTACACCACGTTTCGTTTACTTTAAGAACACGCTTTGTAAAGTTTGGATACGTTTTGAAAACAGAGTGTGTGACTTTGCCCACTTGGAAATGTCAACGTTAAGAACGTCGGTTCATCGTAAAAAAAATGCAAAACAAATAATTACGGTCTGTATCAATATCAAAAGGATAAAGGTCATGATAAAAGTAGATTTGCTTGCTTGAAAAGATACATGTTGTACCTTGTACCGATGGGGAAAAAAACATGAACAGGAACTGAACATCAAGATTATAAGGTTTCTTATAATATCAGTTTTAATTTAGATAATGGTTAATTATGTACCAGAATCATGTCCATTTGATAGATTGATATTCAGATTCGTACATGCATGTACTTTGAGTTTCGTTCATACCAAGTTTTAATTATTCTCAATGTCAAAAAGTTGAGCTTGTTTTAAACAAATTTATACCCGAATACCAAAGTGATATAGGTGAGAAGTGATGCAACGATTATCACTTCGTAGGTTCATTTGTTCACCACATTAAAAGTTCAAAGTTGTGAGTAAAAGGCCTATCAGGATGATCAGATGAGCAAATGCAGGAATATCACAAACAAAATACAAATAAAAGTCGTCAACGAATCATAATGAAATTGCATATGTAAATAAAATTGAAACAGAATGAAATAGGGATAAATGCTATTATGAAGGAAGCCAACAGGAAGACGGTAACATAGTCTTAAGAAAGTTTGCAACCAATAATAAAACCTTCAAGTAGAGCTTAATATAATTATTGTCAGATAGCTAATCAATTTCATCTTTAATCCCATAAGCAACAAGTGGAAAACAGTTTCCAACATTGACTCGGAATGTGGCACCTCACTCCTCATGACAATGCAGGCTTTGAAATATATTGCCTGAATCATGCATTGTTATGCTATCTGTGGCGGATCCATAAAGGGTGGTGTCTATGGGGATGCTCTCTTCCCTGCCCAACCCCTCCCACCCCCCCCCAAAAAAAAAATAATAATAATGATAATACACAAATTCTCTATGCCTAAACATGAATGGCGTGCCCGCTGCAAATTTGATGACATCTATTTTTGTTTTGATCTCGTCAGCATTTGCAGAGGTAACTGTGCCGCTTAATACATGACAACCTTTAACGTGTTGGCTTCTCTGAGATTTTATAGATAAATGCCTTTCGGAAAATTTGATACCCTTTGCCCCCCTCTGTTTGATCATCACGGCAAATATTCCTGAGTTTGCTTATCGTAATTGAGTCATTGCACCGTCATCGGCTGTAGCAGGATTGTTTTGAAGAATTACTATCAACGCAATAAATGATTGTAATTTTTACGGAATTAACTTTAGTCCGTGGGCCAGAGGGGGCTACCGTGCACCCCCCCCTATGATCCTACTTCTTGGGTGTCATTTTGTTCATTGGGATCCATAATATCAGAAAAAAGATGTTCCCAAGAAAAAAACTCATTTGGACACTGTTTTTTTGCTCCTTATTTGAAGATATGTAAAAATGTCAGTTTTTCGTGTTTTGCACACTTTCTTAGGGTTTGTGAATTATGTGCTTACATTTTACCCTGTTTCTCAGCAAATATAACTCTAATCTCCACCAAATTTATAAAAGATCTTTGTAAACAATACAAAAATAGGTAGAAAAAATTATTTTGTTTTATTTTATTGACTTCAATTGTTAATGACGTCATAAATTTGCATATATTTTGATATGCAAATTTCTGCCTCAAAACCTGTCAAAATCACCTAAAAGTTGTATTTTGTCTGCTATTATCATGAAATAAATTTTCAAACCCCCTAATTTGGTGTAAAATTATTTATTGATATGTTATCTGATGTTTCCTGCAAACAAATTTCAGTCAACTCTTGTTGACATTGTTTTTTACCATTATTTGTTACGTAAACATATCAGTTTTCCGTGTATTGTACATTTTCTTAGGGTTTGTGAATTATGTGCTTACATTTTACCCTGTTTCTCAGCAGATATATTTCTAACCTCCATCAAATTAATAAACAATCTTTGTAAATCATACAACAACAGGAAGACAAAATTATTTTAATTCATTTTATTGTCTTCAATTATTAATGACGTCATAAATTTGCATATTTTTATTATGCAAATTTCTGTCTCAAAACCTGTCAAAATCACCTAAAAGTTGTATTTTGTCTGCTATTATCATGAAATAAGTTTTCAAACCCCCTAATTTGGTGTAATATTATTCATTGATATTTTATCTGATGTTTCCCGCAAATTTTGTTCAGTATAAGTCAACTCGTATCCCACCCCCACCCCCCACTCTCCCCGCATATTACGATTAATACATTCTGTATAATGTACATTCAATTAAAGTTCCTGTTTAAAAAAACAAAAGCTCAGCAAGCAGTATTTCAATTACTGTTGGGGCTAGCCTGTTAACATCAAACTAAATCAAATACAGTAATTTACCACATACATCATTGTTTCCTGTTATAGAACCAGCCTGATCATTAATCAGCAGCAGCAGCTGGTCATTAATCCCATTATATGCTATAATATAGTTTTGTTGTTTATACAAATGAATGAACAAACGGGGTACAATTTCACGAATTTCAACTGACTTGACACAATGAGCAATGGAAGAAGCATGCATCCTCATTCTTGAAGACATTTCAGATGTGCACGGTTATCATCGGGAGTGCTACCAACTTTTTACCGAGAATCTCAATCGACTGTCAGAGATCTTATCTGATGCCACAGAACCTTCAACATCCCGTCCACCCAGATCGTCAATTGATGAAGTCATCCTCAATCCTGATTGTATCTCTTGTAAAAAGGAAGGCCCAAAATGAATCAAAGTGAAAAGCTCTTGGACAACAGAAAGTACACCAATGTTAGATTTTGGTGGGTGGCAAAATGTTGTAGATGTTGCAAAGAGAGGGGTGAAGAAGACCTAGTTTTGAGAATCCTGGAAGTTGATCTGTTTGCTGCAGAAGCAAGAAATCACAAGAACTGTCGGTAGAAATATGTGGCGAACTAAAAGCCAGATTAATGGAGAAGTGTCAAATACGATGAAGTAGCTAAACAGTGAACAACGGAAATAGCCCACAGTTGAACAGATTCACACTGAGCTAGAGAAGTTTCTGAACCATTTGTTGAGTGGAAATCCATCTCGACCGTCACAAAGAGTGACTAAACTTGTCATATCTCTAGGACAAGATGTATCTAGGGCAGCCACAAATGGAAAGTGGAAAATGTCCAAGCATATACTGGTATGGAAGACTCTGAGACATCTCTTACGCAGTGCTCGATTGATCACATTCCTGAATCGGCTTGTTCATTCAGAAAGCTATTCATTTTCACTTGAGCTTGAATCTGCCATAGCACAAGCGCTACAATAGACTTTCGGTATTCTATCTAGACAGGTAGTCCGCCATCACGTGGAGCCATCAGTCTTCCATTCAGACGTTGACGATTTCAACCAATACATTTCAAGCTTTGGTGGTTCTGGCTTTGCCACACAGCCCATGGGATTATGCAGCTGGAGATTTCTAACAATGAGACAGTTGAATCTTCAAATAGCACAGTACCCTCAGTAGCACGTACATGAACCAAAGAAAGTTCCTTGGCTAATGAAAATGAAGGTCCTCTTCCACCTTGCTATGTCAACAGATATAAAGCATTCAAAGAATGTGCCAGAAATGATATTGCGTGGATGCTTGTCCGAAAAAGTAGTGGAGAGACAGGTCAAGAGCTTCCAGATTGGGCTGGATTTGTTTCAGTAACATGGGAGGTGCCCTCAAATGTGACGACCATAGATTAATATCCTGTAAGAAAATATCCCATAACAGAATTCGATACAATCCAAGAGTGCCTAAGAGCTGCAGAAGAAGCAAGCCACAAGGTTGGCCATGTCATAACAACAGTTGACTTGGGCGTGTGCCTGTAGGCATATCCTCTCATTTGGAGTCATCCATAAACTTACAAGAAACACATTGTGTTGATTGGCACTTTCTATTTGATTTGTGCATACCCCAAAATGCTGGGAAAGAAAATGGAAGGATCCGGACTTGAAGATATCCTCTTGGAAGCTGGTCTCATGTCTTCTGGGTCTATGAAAGACGTCATAACAGGAAAGAACTGCGACAGGAGTCTGCATTGTCACAAGACAATGGTGGAGTGCTTAGAAAAGCTCCTTTTTTATGAGTTCCTGTCAATGACTGGATAAGATGATGCACTTGTTGATATAGCTGAGGAATCAAAGAATATCTTCCAAGAGCTAAATCGATCACCAACAAAGGAG